TTTGAATCAAATTACAGCACTTTAAAATTTTAAGAAAGACGGGTATTTCACCTAGTAAACTGTCTCATATGAAAATTTTAGAGTTCTGTTAGAAAGCAATCTAATGTGAATTCAGTCGAATTGAAGATGAGGTTTAATGCTGACTAATGGCATGGATTATAGTTACACCCTTAATTGAAATGATAGAATATAAGGGACTGGCTTTAGACATAGTTGATCAAAATGAAACTTCCTAACCAAGAGTCCTAAAGAGCATTGATCCTATTGTGTACGCAGCAGATAACGAATACTGCTGGTCTCCTTAAACAGACTTCTGGGATGATAATTTAGGTTGTATGTTAACCATGTTTTTGAGAAACCTTCTCGGGTAAAGAAACATATCCTCTTGCAAAAAGATCAGTCTATTAACATCACTTACTTAGATTTGTAAATGTAGACTTAAATTTCAGTTTACCAGCTGAAATATAACATGATCAGTGAGTGCTTGACCAACATCTACTTTCTGTTCAATGTTTGCTCTTGCACGTAAACTTCTGAAAATTTATATTCTAGGTTAAAACGGATATCGATTGGTCATCGATTTTTAGTGATTCGCTTACTGATATCAGTTCACGATGAGAAATGCTTTGGAATTAATCAGAACTTTCTCAATCACATGAGTGAGTGAGTGTTACTTTTCAGATAGTATTCAATTTCCCTATGGTTTTTCAGATATAAGTGGAAGAAATAATCTGCCATGTAAGAAAAGTCTCTGTTAGTTCCTTCTAGAATGAAGTTATTCATCTCATCTTGATTACATATATACATATGAATGGCGGTAGCTTACATCGAGTTGAATTATCGTGGAAATAATTATTTCTCCTTTCAATATTTCTTTCTCTCTTAATTTTCTTTAAAATATCTGTTTCCTCTAAATAGAAATCATGAAAACCTTTCACAAGAATTTACTCATTAGTATGCGAATTTCTTAACTGATAGTGGATTAATAAATCAATTTAAAATGGCCACGAAAAGTGCGTTTTAGAGTAATGATTAACAATACGAAATTTTTGTTCAATTATTCATTGCTTAGAAAAATTGAATCACTTAAGTAGAAAGTTAGATATTGCGAATAAGCTCTCATTTAAAAGTATCAACTGAAGTAGCTGTGTGATAAAAAGATGTCATCTATTCGGAATTTTACATAAAAGTTTCTCTGCTAATCTGGTCATACCATGCATACAAACTGTGGTGAGAACTGAAAATTACTGCATAAATTCTGTTTAATTATGTTTTTTTAATACCGGCATATACTTTCAGTAATCTGAAATTACCATATTTAATATTTACTGATTATGCAGTCATTCCTGTAAAATAAAGTCTTTTATTCCTCAACCTCCATAAGTGTTCTTGTTAGTCAAACTTGTTTCATTAAGCCTAGCTTGTCTATTATCGAATATTATGACTTTTTAAGGGACGCTAAAACATTTCATAGTAGGTTATTTATTGTTGTTGCAGTGTTATTTCAGCTTGACAGTTACAATACTGAGTTCTTCCAGTTTAATTAAATGTTTAACAAACTAGTAAGTAGGTGGTAAGAAGACATCGGTGTTTTTTCGTGAGAAACAACCAGATGGAGCATAAAATTGTCATATAAGCTAGAACACATACGTGACAAATTACCTGCAAGTAAATGTAACTCAAGTAACCGATATTTTATAGATCAACTCTTTTCATATGAGGCCATTTACCTTTATCGAAAACATAAGCAGCAAACCCATAGAACTTGAAGGTGTTTTTTTGTTTCGGTTGAACTGACAGGCTTAACTTGTTCCCACTTCATATGTACGAGACAAAAGTGTTTTATCAATTCATATCATGAAAGTAAATAGGGGTGTATTTTATTGTCAAAAAATTGAAAGACCTTGAAAATGCAACCCATTTTATAACAGATCATGACGAGTCAGTGGATTGAGGTGACTGAAAATGATACAAGGTCTCTGTTTTATGCAAAATGTTAACGTTATTGGCTTACTTATGATGGTTTATCTGTCGTTTTCTGACGAATGGACATTTATTTACCTTACTGTTTCCTATCTTTTCACTGTTATCTTAGAGATGAAATTGTTTTGTGTCTAAGTGGAAAAAGAACCAGAGTGACTTTAAAGGCCAGCTTAGCAACTGATGACACAGCCAACTACATTCCTCTATTTCCCTCAGGCGAAATACTGAAGCTAGTGTGGCCTTTAAAGTCACTCAAAAGCCATGCTACACCACTGCAGGATGACTTATATTTCAAGTTTCGTTCGCTTATCAAACATTAATAATTTACCACATTTGATGATTTCTTTTTACCGACTACACTGTCATGGAAACATGTGTAACAACCACAATGAACCTTGCGAGAACTTACGCAGCTGTTTGTTCAGTTAGCTGACAATGGCGGCAGGCAGGAAGTTTTATAACTAATAATTCCTAACTGGAATAGTGTAAGCAAATGAAAAAGACTTCCTGCGCACTTACTAGCAAGTATAACTGATTAATGCTAGTAAGTTTAACTACTTATGCTTTCTAGTAGTATGAATCTTTATATACAAATACTACTTTTCGAATGTCATACCCCATTACTACGGAGCATGCCTATGCGTAAGATAGTAGTTCTCCAAAAGCATTCATCAAGTAATTCAGTCAAACTACTGTTTGTTGTCTAGAAAGTCTTCTTCCTGACAATTTTACTGAATGAGAAGGAAATGTTGTTGACCGTCTACACTGTCAAAATTCTCACAGTTGATTATTTATGAAGACAAAAACGTGTTTTTCGTCGTATTTTAATGAGACGAACTGCTAAATGCAAAAAGAATCATTAGGTGGACGCATTCAGTTGACCAGATAGTTTTATTGCATAATTTCGTTGTAAACAGTTGGCTGTCAAGTAATTTGTTCCTGCCTTCTATTTATACAAGTTAAGGTATATCCATTCAGTTGTAAGGGGAACCTGAGTTTTCTAAACTCTGGAATCAATCATGAGGATTTTAATAGAAAAGGATTTTTTCCTTATAACGTCTTGATAAAAATTATTATTTCTTCTCATTCTGAGCTTACTGATGACTTCGATTATATTTCCAAATTAGTTTGAATATGACAAAATAATAAGGGAGTTGAAGTCTGTTTTATAATAGGCAGTATCAGGTGAATGAACAAACTAGGTGTAAGTTGACAGACTGAAATGTGTGGCATATTCCAGAATGGTTTCAATTACAATTTGGAGGAATTTTGTTCAGTTCACAAGTTGTTATTTTTTCACAGGTCTTGAGTAGCACACCCTTTCTGTGATACAAAATTAGTAGATGTCTTTCGGAGTACTTATGTTTCGAAATTCATGAACTCAATGATGGAATATTCAATTTTCTTTAAATAATATGAACAAAGCTCTTCAGTTATAAGATTTGAAAACAGCTTCAGTGTAAAATTTAGTAACCATAACAAATGTAGTTAAGTATGTAAAAAAAACCCATCTTTTTTGTGACAGTTTATCCTTTGCCTGAGAATCTTGAACTTCAGAGACGATTCTAAAAATGTCTTTAGAAACACCATATTTCTGACTCAAATGAATCATTTTGTCTGGTATAATTTTAACTAGATATAGTTACGTTCAATCTCATGGTCTCGATGATAAAGCATGATTCTATTTTTATTCACAAACGAGGTCTCAAGAGATAAGTGAACTTATTCACGATAGTACTGTACCAAATGTTCATTTTTCAGATATATGAGACTTTATAACAATAACTGGATAACATCATCGCTTCTGAGCAGCATTGACTTAATGCTATGTTCATGTGAATACAGTATAGTTTTTAGATAAAAATTATGCACTTTAAAACGTGATAACACCACAAAATGTCTCCATCAAAATACGAAAGTGGAATATTATTCGGCTTCAAAATTTGTATCATGTAAGTGCATAAATCATAGGAAATGAAGTTAAAAATAAAGATATCATTTGAAATGGTACATTAATTATTTCGATTGCTTTAGCCAAATGAGCAATTCAAATTCACGATAAATTTAGAACATAGCATGTAAAATTTCTTGACAGAATACGATCGTGACAGTTGAACTGCTGTAATTATTTTTGTTTATATTGAGAAAAGAAGAAATTGTTCAACATGAAATTTTCAAATAATGTCGTTTTGTTACCACAACGAATGGAATTCGTCTAAATTCGAAATAATAAGAGATTATAGTCCAATGAATATATTACGGCTATTAAAGTATTATAGTCTGGCTACTAAGATAGACTAGACTCAAGTAAATGCACGATTTCTCATGTTCAGTTTCTGAAGTGGTTTTGACTAAGTCCCACAGTTCTATTCAGTAATTCAAGACACTCATTTCCAACGTGCATTTGTCAACTAGAGACTCATGGTACATTTTAAGCTCACACCATAAAGAGATTCACAAATAGCTGATGTAAGTATCTGTTACATAAATTTTCCACTTACTTCAAAAATTTAGATTTCCATATTTCTTGTCTTCCGAACAAAATTGAAAATTCTAGCTTCTATTGTCTTTCTAAAACTATTTACTTGGTTGTAGACTCAGCTTTAGACTGAAACTTTCTTAACTCGAACAAGTGTATGTAATCTTGTTTACCACCAATAATAGTGAAGTCATTAAACCGTTCAAGAAGTCAATTCTCTTGTTCACATCCTCAACATAAATGACAGTGTAGTGTGAGATAGGAATAGGATACGCTGAATATGCATATCATTTTTTCACAACAATTCATTTGCTATTTTTTATTCCTCAAAATTATGCTTTTCGTTAAGAAAACGACAATGAAAAAATTAAACAGATTGAACACTGAATCTTGTTTTACTGAATTGCATCGATATACAGGCGGAAGTAATTGTATACACATAAAAGTAACGTACATAAACATCACGCTTATGGTTATAGTAATAACAATAACAGTATAAGCCTCGCCACTTCTTTTCTTCTGTTCTTAGTCTTTTGTTTCATAAAACTTTTTTGAAAGTGGACACCTAGTAGAACAAAACAGATGGAAAAAAAGATTATTTTTCAACTAAGACATGATCAACATTTATGCAGTTATGAATTAGAGATAATGAAGGGAACGTCTAACTTGTGCGCTATCATGTTTGGAATAAGTGACCTAGAAGTGCGTAGTATTATAGTTGATCTTAGTGGATGTATAGGCCAAGAACATTTCTCACTTTCATGATGATGATAATGGTAATGAAGGAAAGTTAAATCTAACCAACAGAACTTCAAGAACTGGTGTTTCATATGTTTTGTAGAAATTAAGTGTTGTTTATTTCACTTCAAAACCCCATTGAGGGTTCATACCTAATTAGCGTTAATATGATCTTTTGCAGAATGTATATTACGAGGGTGTATTTGTATTTCCCTCTTATGAAATGGATATAGGTATGTTACGATACTTGTAATTTCCCATGGTTAGTTAGGGTAGAATTGCTCAACTTCTGTTGGCAGATGGGCTCCTGTGTGGATGTCTTAGCACTGCCACATATTTATAGTGTTATGTCCATCTCGGTGACTAGCAGTGGAATCCAGGACCCCCATTTCACCCCATTTGGGACTCGTCAGTCGGATGCACTTGCACACCAATGAGCGATATTCTTCCCAACGAGACTCGAACCCAGTAGCTATTGCTTCAAACGCCAACGCGTCATCCACTAAGCCAGTGGGGCACGATAACAACCTATTTTTCAGCGGGTACCAACTGTTGTTTTGATACTGATACCCTTTGCTTAAAAGGTGGTTGTCGTGCCCCAGTAGCTTGGTGGATGACGCCTTGGCGTTTGAATTGATGGGTACTGGGTCCGAGTTTTAGTGCAGGAACATCCAGCTGACGAGTTTCAAATGGGACGAGATGTGCGTCCTGGATTCTTCTGTTAGTCACCAAGACCAGAATATGTGTGTATGCATCCATTTGTTAGGAGGTGGGTTCTGTGAACCACTAAATTTCTCACACACAATCAATGTTAACAGAAAAGTTATGTAGTATAATCAATTTTTGCACCGGGAACATCAGTCGAAATGTGTTTCACGGGTGAATTGGTGTGCTGAGTTTTACTTTAGAAATATGAACAGTTTTTCAGAGTTCAAATTCTAACTGAAAAAGTAAAACAGAAAAGTTTGTTGATATTTTGTTCTTTTCACTGCATACAAGCTTAATTAGTCAAAACCATGCTCAATAAGGTGAAAACTATACAATCAAATGGGTTAAATAGAAACAGAAAATCAGAGAACAAATAGCGGTTAGTAAGCAACACATACTGGATTTATTTAAAAAAACTACCAGTTGTTTATTAAGTGGATGCAAAAGACACAGTGTTCAGACTAAGAATGGATATAATCAAAAGAGAGACATACAAATATACGTAGGATTACAACAGATGCATAACAAATACAGATATCTGTGAATCACTTTTTCTATCATTAGAAAATATTTCGTCAAAACAGTGTTAATAATGTTAGTAGTAAGTGGCAGTATGGACTATCTGGACTTATTAGCTCACCAGCAAATCACCTATGACATTCAGACTGGAACGTCTTTGAATATCTTCTTCTGGGGTATTCATCACCTAATTTTCGAAATAAAAATACATATATACATACATATACATATGTATGAACTGTATTCAGCTGATTGCCTTGTGTATTTTGTTTTGACTAATTGGAAATGTGACCACGTTTTCAAAACAGAAAAATTAATGTGTACTGAAATAGTGTTTAGGTTCAAAAGGAGATCAGGAAGTTGTTTACTGCGATTCATTCAAATAATCATTACCTTAATTAATCACTGATGACTAATTGGGTCCTAATGGCTATGTAGACCAACTACAATATTTTGTGTATGTCAAAAACACCATTTGTATAATCTGTTGATCAATAACAGAAGAAGTAATTAGCAGAGTGTATATCTAGATGTGTCAAATCTTAAAAGATTAACTTTTACTCATATCTTTAGTGCTTTATTTTCAACCAGTAATTCATAAGAAGGTCCCCTCATAGACAGATAGCATCAATAGCAACAAGTGTGATTCATAACTCAGCACTTCAATCAGCATGTAGTTGATGAAGTAAAAATTTATGTCTTCTAGTGTAGCTTAATAAAGATTAGTGCATAGGTTTTATTCGCTAACATCTGTTTTATACAGTCTTCTTTTAATTTAAAATTCTCATGCTTATCTTGACAACCTAAAATCATGTGGACTTATGAAATCCTTCCTCTAGTTCTTCATACTAACTACAGAACCAGTTATCTATGCGTGCAAAGGCAACTTCTTTTTAATGCTCTTCTAAGGGCAGGTTGATATTTTCCACAAATTTATAAATTTAATAGCATGGATCGATATAAAAGAATCTATTTGACAAGCCAAGTGTTCCAATTTGAGATTTGATTATACTATGATAGTTTCGAACACAGGAGAAAATTACATGAGGCTACTTTTCACTCTCAACAATGCTTTCAAATCTTGCATAATTAGTTACAATTTTATAAAAAGTTATAATAAAAAACAACATAGGAAACAACTACTCCAACATTTCCTAGTTTATGAGGAAATCTTTGAGCTTTGAAAACTCTGATTTGTTGGTATTTCTTGCTTGTGCATACGATATCCGCTTTTAACATTCTGAAGGTGAGTTTCCACTGGCATACACTTAAAGTTTAAAAAGTATCAAATACTTACAGTCATATTGAATAGTGTTCATGATTTTAAGAAATGAACCGAATTAGCATATATGTATTTCGCTTTAAATTTTCACTGGTGCCGTACACTAATTGTTTGTGTATGTGCATTAAAAATATCATGGGCGGTATGTTAATTTAAGTAGTTCTTATCATGTTTAAGCATTTTAAATATATGCACTGGATTGTCGTATGACGTCCTAGTCAGTTGAGTACTGTGTGACCTACTCTTTAGAAGTTTGTAATGAACTGTAGTCACTGTTTTCAGCTTTTTATTGAAGTTATATCTAGAATATGAAATCTGTAATGATCTTTGAGGGATTTTCTCATGTTTTTTTTACAATATTAAAGTACTGAGTACATTACATTTTATGAGAGAATGGCAACGAAAGTAGCATTATAAGTCTTTGCGTGCTTGATATTCGTATGTTGTGTAAGCTGATTATTGAGGAAAGAATGTTAGTAATTTTTTATTTATTTTGATTCATTCATCTGTATTCACTTCTTAGCTAAAAAATTAACACCAAGATGATGTTTAATGTAAATGTTGAATTTTAAGATGTAGGCATTCTGTGATCATTTTATCTTCTTTACTAGTCAGAAGTTAGTCATTATGAATTAGTTCACTGAATGCGCTTCATATGCTCCTTTGTCTAAATCGAAAGTGTGGCACTTTGAAATAAACAGCCTAATGACCGAGAAATAATATTTGTTTTTCATTTTTACTATCTGAGATAGTCGTGGTTTTACAGACTAGTATTGGTACTGCGTGGTGATTGAAGGCAGATTTAGATTTGGATAAGAAGTCCTGACTGGGGAGTCAGTGGCAGTACAATCAAGCAGTAGTAACACGTCAGGAATGCATATCGTAGTCGGACGAAACGTTTGGTGACTGAAGTAAATATCTCATAAGCAATCAGGTCTTGTAGCACCGGGTGAGAAAGCCGGTGGTCGCTGACTGGAATCGCACCGTGGCCTAAATTTTCATTTCACCCTCGATCATTGTGTATTATCAAATAATATTTGATTGGAATGTTCAATACGAAACAAATGGAAAGGGTTGTAGAACTTGGAATGATGTGCAATATCTTTTGAGTGGTTCATGAATAATTTTACTGCTGATAAAATTTCATTATGAGTAGTGTGTTTGGCTGTATTTTATCCGAGACTAGTGTTTTTAACCGTTTTTTCGAGTGCTGATAAACTGACCTCATATTATTGTCGTTGTTGTCGTTCTATGGCTGAGGCACTCAAGTTTCAACTAACCAATGACGAACTTAAAATTCCACTTCATAATGTAGAAGTGTCCGTCTCTCTCATCCTCTCATTCTGATTCACCAACCTGTTTCCTTAGCTACATGACTTGATATTACATTTACACCTATAACATTAGTTATAATTTCCTGTCATACAGGCTGACGCATCATTATCACGCTTCCTATTTATTGCTTCTTTCACTGAAACTGGTCACATTAAAGTGCTTTTCAATATAATACACTTTATTCAGATGTATATCTTCAGTTTTTATCTGTCACCAAACGACACTTTAGAATGACTCATTCTTTTATGTAATAGCTACACTCACTTGAGAAGTGGAAAATTGTCCACAACTCCATCCCGAATTTCGACGAATTGAACTCCGATGATTGAATGGAGTGACAAAAGGACCTTCACACACATTAACAGTAATTAACGATTTTGTCGATGTACTTGGCGTGAAACCATAACTATGCCTTCTGGGGTCCAAAAACCCACTATTGTATCTCGGTACATTCAGAGCGCCTAAATTGTCCTTAAAAAAAAGTGACATAAGGTATGATTATTAATGGTTCTATGATGATTAATAAACACATGTTGGACTAAGAATACTGGCACAAACATGTAGATAACATTTTTTCACACTATTCAGTATAACTTTAAAAAATAAGTGACTTGACCAAATAAATCAGAAACTCAGCATACGTTTTACATAACATCTTTATAATTCTTTTTACTGCATTTGCCTTACGTCATCATGAAATATGACTATCTACCTTTTTCTGTTGGCTAGTAAGGAGACGAATAGTTCTCATCACCGAATTATAACAAACAATGCTCTTCACTATTCAGGAATGTCGTTCGAAAAATAGCGTCATGTTAATAATTAATGTTTACTTAGCACATAATAAGAAGTATTTGTAGAAGTTGCAGTTAAGAGTGACTGATGAAATCTTTCATCTCCTGAACTTCACGTTAGTGGTGCATTTTTAATGTAATCACTTTGTCACACAAGTCTGTGAATCGCTTATTTTGAGTAGTAGGGTTCATGAAACCTACTGAAAAGTCCTAAAGCTTTTGGTAGACAGATGCTGACCACTTTTAGGTAATAGAAGAAGTGAATTACCATGATAATGTAACAGCTCGCATGAACTTAATCACAAATGAATATTTTCATAACATTTATTTTACTGAGTTTCATTGATTTTGTCTGATAGTCACTTTATCTTGATAAAGAACAAAATGAGTGGCTTCAAGATCATTGTAACAATTGTTGAAGTAACCAATCAGGTTTCAGCATTTCGACTGAGAAGGCAGTTTCTCAAAAAATGTAGAGATGTAATTGGTGATTTAAGTTTTTGACAGGGTGGTCTTTAAAGACACTAGAAGTTAAATCTATGCAACGATCACCTTTTCTTTGTTCACGAAATATATGTAGATACACATCGGATAAGTGGTCTTAAAAACTTAGAAAATAAAATCAGATGACTTAAAAGGCCAATCACATATATCTTCATTTTAAAAATAACTACCTTCACAGCCGAAATACCAAAATCTGATTGGTTATTCCGTCAGTTACTGGGGTGGATTTTACAGTCACTGTAAAAGATCGACTTTAAAGACCACCCTAGAAACAACTGAAATAACCAATTAGATTTCTGTATTTTGAAATTCTGCACTTACAGCTGAAATATAGAAGCCTGGTTGATTATTTCAATCGTTGCTAGGATGACTTTTGAAGTCTCCCTCTTAAAACCACTGACGTGTGATAACATATTATGGTGACTTCGATGGCCACCCTGCTGACAACTGGAATAACTAATAAGACTACTCCATTTAGTGAAAATCTGGGGTGGCATTAAAGGCCACCGAAACAACTGCTGAGATAGCCAATTGCGTTCCTCTACTTCAAGGAAAAGTACTTTCTCAGGCGAAGTACTGAATCCTTATTGGTTATTTAGATCGCTGCTAGAGTGGTCTTTAAAATCATCCTTATGTCAGAGCTAGTGGTACAATGATAGTATGAGCACTGCAATGCTGTGAGACTGCCTAGACAACTAACTTATCCAATAAAATGTGTTGATTGTATCAAAATAGCTTTTCATTCGTGATCCCACATGAGAACAGAGATGTTTTGATCATAATCAATGTTGACTAATGTTGATACTTAGTTTACTAAGTAAGGGATTATGGATAAAGAATAAAGACCACAACTAAAGCTGAAGAACAACTTTAATGGGAGCGACTTTATAGGCCACTCTAGCAAGTGTTGAGACAACCAATTAGGCTTCTATATTTTATGAAAAATTAATTTTCTAGCCGAAATAACAAAACCTGATTGGTTGTTACAGCAGTTACCATGCTGGCCTTTAAAGTCAGCCCTAGGACAAACGTATCTAAAGACATGAATAGTAGCTACACTTATCTTTTAGATACTTAATAAACCTACATTTATTCTAAAATCATCATGAAAGTTTATTGTTTCTAGATAAAATGAGTTAAAACTCTCTACGAAGGTTCATATGCTTAAGGCACACCTGAGGACTCACCGTTCTCATTCCATCTTTTCCGACAATTTTTGATGTAAATCTTACAGTAAGTAACGAACACACAGTTTTCACTTAAACTTACCTACATTTCATTAGTAAACCATGACTTGTTTCTTGAAGGCATGCATTTATCCTAATGAAACTAATAGTCTTAATCGGTGACTGAAATCACATATTAGCATTCATTGTTCAAAGTTAACTGATCTTACCTTTTTCCTGATACATTGATGGCATTTACTGAAAATTAAGCTAATTGCGACTCCAGGTCGGATCTCATCCTACAGAGTCATCGTTTATTGGTTTACACAATAAGCTATGAAATATTGGGTTGTGCATTCGAACTTTGCTCCACTAACCATGGTACTCAGCTTAGTCAGCTTTCGCAAATTTGCACATGCACATGGTCTGCAAACTTACATGGGCTTATTAACATCATCATTATATTATATTTTGGAGCCGTATAAGTGAATGAGAATAGAAACATCTGATCAACCTAAGGAGATTTAATGTATTTTGAACATAGGTTTTACCCGTCTCATTTTTTAAATTACATTCTTCATTTAAAAACTTCATGATGGTACCAACTGCCATACTTCCAGTTCTGTTATCTCTAGGGCATATTACAGTAAAAATTTCACGTGAAATAACTAAGCTCTAAATCCCGGCTGTGAATGTCCTAGATCTCAAATCTGATTACCTTAGTTGGTTAGGCTAATTTTAAACTAGATATTAACGAGAAGAATACCTGAGTTTCCATTGATCGAGTTGGTAGATTTCCAGAATATCTGCGTATCTTCTGTAAATCTCCAGAGGCTGGACTTGGAATGTAGAAAGGATTTGCTCCAATACGAGAATTTCCACCGGAATGCCCGTGATAATTGAAACTAGGGTTGCTTGAAGTCTCATTCCAGAATCTATGATCTCCAGTGGCTAAGACAGAAGAAAGCAATTACTTATAGTCATAGAAACAAGCTTAGCAAAGTGTTGTTTTCGCTAATAAATGCTCATAAAACACGAATTTTCATGATCAGCTGAATCTTATAGTGCAACATGATCAGTAAGTATAGTGATTAGGTACCATAGAAGTTGATCGAAGTCAGTAAGTAGTAAGTTTTTTCGCTTCTTACCTAACTAAAATACTGGACTAAGTGACTTTGGTTACTGCCACAGACTAAAAGGTATGACACAAAAACTTCTCACTGACTAGGTGACAGTTAGTTGCTAACTTGTTTATTAAGAGGCTAGAGACAGATGAACATAGAAATGCACTTTAAACAGGTAACTGGTGATCAAGAACTTTACTGTGTTGAATTTTAAGAGATACTTTAAAGTAATTCTCTCCTCACTCTTGGTACACAACCGCCTTTCAGTCGTGATGTCGCTGGAGTTACAAGTTTGTCGTATAAATTCGTTATTTATGTTTTTTGGATTTTCATAGGAATGGTCATCTGTTTTTAAATCATTATGTGGAAGAGAATGAAGTTCTCAAACTGAATATAGAGCCTGTTTCTGTTGTATGTTGATTGGCAGTTAGATGGAATTTCGTAACTATCTCTAACAAGTCTACATGTTGTGATGCATGTCCAAGATTTTCAGTGATTCACTGAACATTAAATAAGGGACTTTTCAAGAAGAAAAGAGGAAATAAAAGCTCCATAAGTTTTACAAGTAGAGATCAATAAATGTAGGAAAAAACGAACTGTGATACTAGGGTATCGGTTGAAAACAGATGCAGCATTTGATGTTCACTCTGCAAAAACTAAATTTAAAATCAATAAACAATTAGTGTTTGGGTATGTTTGACTCATTTGACATTAGCAATTCAATAAATGATGTGAATGTATTCGGCATGCAGATGACATCTTTGGTTGTAGATTTACTCCTTAAGGGTGTCCCAATTGCAAAAGCCGTTTGTTTTATATGTAATTTCGTTGGGGTTCGGGACTTTGAGATTGGTATTGGAAGATATCATTTAAAGAATTGCTTCTAATCTGTACGTTCAACGCTCATTTATATTTAATGATTGGGTTGTACAGACAAAACGACGCCATGAGATTGGACTAGTCAAGAAGCCCTCTGTTAGAAGATTGCTTATATAGTAAATTTAGAGAACTGTGAGCTGCCCTGAAAAACCAATAGTTTCTACCCATGTAAGAGATATATGGGTGACAAATTATTGATTTGTGACAAAAATACTGATGTCAAGGTCATAGCCGATTAGTTTAATGATTGTCATCTGTAGACCAAATGCATGTTAGAATCAGAAGTAAACTCAAAATTCAATTTCTTTCATTTCTTTTTGGTAGGGAAACTGGAAGACTCCTTACAAAGATCAGTCTAGAAGTTGACATAGGATGGGTAGTATGTGAATTTTCACTACTATAAACTATTAAGCGAAAGGATAATTTTAATTAATTCGGTGTCAATGAGAACTAGAATAATGCACCTGAGACATTTGATGGTGAATTGAGTAAACTGAGAAACATTCATGAAAAACCTGTATGCATTCAGAATTATTAGAAAAAACTTGAAATCCGAACTGCGAATTGAGTGAATAACACAATTCCACAGAATTTATTCGTGAATATAATTATCAGATATGTTATGGAGGCAGAAATTTAAGAGTTGGAAGTTTATATCGTCAAACTACAGATTCTGAGTTGTGCTAAGGACAAGACTCCGCCCTTAACCACTTAAATCTATTTTTACTAGTTTAGTTTCATCTGTGAGTTTAGTTATGTAGGTCACACACATTATTCTATTTCCAAAAGTATCTCGGGGTATTATCTTGCACCGCTGTAGGAGGGAGAATGTATATCTATCACTGTTTTGATCCTAAACATCTGATGAGTTTGGTCAGTGCAATTCCACTAGAGCCTACATAGCTGTAGAGCAGTGTTGCAAAAGAGGGCGCTTTTAAAACTTGTGCACAACGAAGGCCCTGATAGTTCGCCATTTGAAGGCAGATGTCTGCATTTGAAGGAGCTTTGTTCAGTTCCTTATCTTACAATAGTTTTAATCCTTCTCCTACACTTCTACTTTACTATAGTTCATTAGTTAGCTATTATAACTTTTACTGCCATTTTTTTCTTCACTTTCAACCCATCTATCAAGTTCTTATTCAAATACCTTGTCTGTTAACATTTTTCATTCTTCAAATTCCCTACCTTTCTCATGCCTTGCATTGTCGCATACATTATCATGTAACTTCTTTCGGTCTGCAGGAAATACTTCTTTACTTTAGTCTTCGAAACTGCTTTAGAGAATCAGATTTACCCTAACTGTTCAATGATGGATTGTTGCATGCTTGTTGGAAATTCAAATACGAAGGCATAGCTTTAGAAAATGAATCTTTATTTCACATGCTTGTTTCTTCTTTTGTTGATGACTAAATGGGTATCATTTTTTGCTCAGCATAGAATATTTCCAGAGATATGACGGATTTAAATAAAAATATAAAGGTTAATCTCAGCAAGTTTGTAATAGGGGGAAATGCATACTTGTATAGTCAATAACACGAAAATATTTTATGGAGTCGAACAAGACAATTCACTTGCTGGATTGTGTACTACCTCTTCATCCGAGGACTAGCGGATTCAAATCCTAATCTTTTTCTCAGTGCGTCACCTTTACTTTAGAGTAGTTGATCAAACTTAAGGGGAAATGTGGACTGTGTAAAGTTTTCGTCTCTCTTCGCAGAAGAACGGCCTTCAGGTTCATTCATCAACCCAGTTTAATGACACCCGTCATCTAAATATGTACACCTGTAACTTGAAGTGTTTGATAATATCTCCAGTAATGAAGATTCTTATGTTAACTGGAAAGGTGTAGTAAACTCAAATAAAGCAAGTCAGGGGAACCCCAAATGTGAAAGAAATGTTTTAGGCCTATGGATATCAAGAAAGAGAAGTTCAAACAATAGTTGAAAACTATTACGAGTGAATATATACATCGCACTGCATTACTTTCCCTTCTATTTCTCGTAAAACTACAATCCGCTGAAAAATTTCTACAGTTTTACAATGTAAAAATTCTGTATTAAAGCTGTTAAGTTTTTAACATTTTGCTGAATAGGAAAATTCTGTCTTTAATTACTCTTATTTACATATGATCGAGTATTAGATTACATCTTAATCTTGGATATTTCCAAGAAACTGAGATTTAAAGGAAGTTAAAGTTTTGTATTACCTTTTGTCACAACAACAGTAATTGTGACGGTTAGGTTATTGTGATGAAAAAGTTATCAACATTTTGACTCTAATTCTAAATATCCTATCTACATAATACATGTTTAATAAATATCTGATCGTGTTGACATTTTATTGTGATAGGTAGACAGGCGATGATAACAGAACTGATAAAATGATTTTACCGTTAAGTTTAAAAAAACATCTGTAAGGCAATTTAAAAGTCAATGTAATCTATAGTAGAATATATATGGCTGGTATGAAACAAAGACAGAACAAAATGCTTATTCTTATACTGATGTGTTGTTATTTAAGCAAGCTATAAACTGTTAAACAAGAAACCAGTATCAGTTAAATACTTCTGTGGGTACTGCTTGAAACGTAAAATGTGTAAACAGAAGCAGCTTAAGAATAGCTGTTAATATAATAATGTTAGGAAATGAACAATAATATAAAATTAAGCTTCCATATGTATTCAGCAAAATCAGATGAAAATGTTTACCGAATAACCTAATATATGAAACATTTAAATTTTCAGTTAGAATTCAACGCTGCGCACCTACAGTCTATGAGTTAAACGCTGAATAGCAGACTATTAGAATGTTTATTTCAAAACTTTTACCAGCCTTAACAACTCATCTGTTATTTAATGTGTGTACATACCTTTAACTTTTCTTTAAGAAATTTTTGCAAATAAGTGTCTTCATTGATAAACAGCCTTATTTGTTAAGATATTAAAGACTAGCATTGGCTGACCGACCGAAATATTAACAAGTAACATGCGTCTTTTCATTTTTCTGAGTACAAAAAATACTTGTGCCGGTTCAGTGAACATCTCGTTAGTATTCATAACTTTACGTGGACTCCATGTCTTCTCGATTCGCTCTTCGATTCATTTGTTGTAACCCATCTTCTTCTACAGTTTCGCTCCTTTTTTATTTGATCTATGAGATGATATTTTATTTGCGTTCACTAACAGTTTAATGAATTCCATTTTGTTTACTGCTTAAACATTTACTACATTATTGACTACTGTGAGGTGACAGATCATCAAGAATTTGAACTTCTAGTTAAAGACATGAGAAAAGTCTGCAGTTCAGTATTCGGTTATTCTAGTGAAAGTCTTTTCAAAATTGATGTTGCTTGGTGAATAGTCTCAAGTTACATTTAGTCATCGCTCTCGGTGCAGTTTGAAGACTATAAATTGGGAAAATACTTTTTGCCTAATATTTCTATTTTTTGAGTTCCGACAGACGTAAATATTTGTTTCAGAGTTTTTACTCAAATTTTCATTTACTTCACTCCATTAAATCAATTTTCAGCTTTGATGCCTAGGGGATAAATTATGCTATTCAGGATGTATAATATTAATAACGACATGAATATTTGCAAACAAAGAATAATAGGTAAAAAAGGAGTGGAAAAAGTATTATATATATATATATATATATATATATATATATCAATATTACAGTAAAACTTACAGTTTCTGTGCTTGGTATTGAATAGAAGGCTTTCTGAACGATGTTGTGATGCTTGAAGTCGTTGAATTAATAAACTATTCCTACTCCAACGGCTAGCGCCACTTACTTCACTGCCAGAACTTCGGCGATAATCTGACCGAAAATCGAATGTTTTAAATAAATAAATGAATTATATATATATATATATATATATATATATATATATATATATATATATACCGTCCCAGTATGGGACTCAGCAGCAGTACGCACCCACGACCCGGCCAGCGATCGAACTCAGGACCTTTAGGTTTCACGATGAAAGCGTCAACCATTCAGACACTGGGTCGGTTTCCACTGGTTCATAGCGTGACTATCACCCAAGGTCTTAAGTTAGCATCCACTTCACTTCTGACTGGTTGAACCCACAGGTCATGGCTATGTCGTGAATTGACAGAAGTTGGAAATTGTGAACCAGTGGAAACCGACCCAGTGTCTGAATGGTTAACGCGTTCGCTGTGAAACCTGAAGTTCCTGAGTTCGATCGCTGGCTGGGTCGTGGGTGCGTACTGCTGCTGAGTCCCATACTGGGACGAAACAGCTGTCCACTGCTCCCAGATTTTCCATGGTTCCCCAACTGATGTCAGTCCATAATGAATACTACTTCTAAATTAAAAAATCCCCATCCATCTCAAAAATGCATTACATCAAGTTTAGTTTCGTGACATGAAGTCAAAGATAGGTTTAGTTTTTCGTATGTCCGGTTATCTCATTTTTACATTGACTCCATTACTTGCAGAAACCAATAATTTCTTACGGTTTGTGACTTAAGTCAATCTGAAATTCTCTCAGTAATATTTGAGAAACAAAACTCTTTTGTGCTTTTAATTTCTTCTGTGTTAGCAATTAAACTATCGAGTTGATAAAATAATGTGTCATTGTGAGAAAAATAACTTATCATGTGAATACTGTTACCCTTTCTAGTAAACACAGTGATAATAGTGAATTAACAACTGCTATTGGTTTGGTGAATAGCAGAAAACAGTTTCCTCTCACTCTTTTGACTTCTATCCATGCTAATCGGCCGTTACTAACTCTTTATAAATGATTCACTGAATTCATTATTTGCAAATTTTACTTATTACCCATAAAAATGATTCGTCAGCATTACAACAGAATAATTAGGGTCAATTATCACCAAATTTAAATATTTGTCGTCTTTGTTTTGCATGACGGTGCTTGTATAATACAATTTTACCTAAGCTTGATCTTGAGAGTTTTGGATCATCCATGTCTGCACATAGTAATTCAGAATCTATAGTTGGACGCTGCATAGCAATTAGGGGAAGATTGCGAGGAGGTGCAAACGACGAGCTATTAAAACAAAAACAAAGAAATAGAAAATCAGGTGGTACCGGTGAGTAAACTGAAGCACAGAGTGTACCTTTCAAGTACCAAGTGACATTGGCTTTGGTCGACATTAAAATGTGCACACTAATACAGGAAGATAAGTTTTAAAGAACAAAAAACGATACTTATTTTGTAATACTGCTCATTCTTATATGAAAACATTTCTGATAGTTTAAACAGTTGAAATAACCCAAAGTACACGATTACTTAAACAGTTTTTAAAGTTTTCTAACTTTATTATGCATGAATAAACTTGCCCTAACAAGTCTATTGACGTACTGATGATTATTCTGAAATATTTTGAAAGTTTTTACAGGTAACTTGGTAATTTATTTCTGAGTAGGACAGCAAATCAGATGATGGAATTGAAGTATTCCATCGAAAGATAAGCCAAGGTATTTAAAAATTCTTTATGACAAAAAGTAGTATCCAAGGCGATTGTTATCTTATACTTTCATAGTTTACTGCAATATGATTAAGATATCAGCAATTTTTTGATTCTATCCTATGAAATAATTTCTAAATTCCAAGTTAAAAAATGATATATACAGAGAAAGAGAAAATGAGCAGTTGGACAAAAGGCGTTTTCACTAATTGCTTCCTCAATTCAGTTTGTTACTCACGTTTAGAAGAAATAATTAGCTCGAAAACTCTTTCAAAATCTGACTAGTTAAATATCTTTTGAGTTTAGAATAGATTAAACTGTCGAATATAGACATATCAAACACCCCCATCATTAATACTGACTATTTTCTTGTCAAATGAACATGATGTGATCTCAACTTGAAAAGTCTAAGGATAAACTTTGAAGTGTACTTTAACTTAAAGTAGTAATTCTGAAAGGCACTGGAAATCTTTTGGATTTTCCTTGTAAACTGAACTTATTATCAGATAACATGAAAAAAATAAGTGGGAGATGAATCTTATAACTTTTTTCTGAATGGCAGCTGGATACCCTGCCAGCTTTTGTTATGCTAAGTTATTTTGACAGTAGGTGAAAAATTCTGATAATACTACCATTGGATAGTTAAGCTTAAATAACTCAACCTGCAGTTGTGAATATTCATTATAAATTTAGAAACCCTTTAATTCGTTTTGAAAATCATGTACAAATAGGTTATTTGATAATTTCAAGTTGTTGTTCACCGAAGACTGACATCAGTTGGAGGAACAAAGGAAGCCTGGGAGCACTGGACAGCTGTTTCGTCCTAGTATGGGACTCCTCAGCAGTGCGCACCCACGACCCCACCAGCAGGGGTCGAACCCGCCACCTTCAGGTTCCGCGGCCAGCGCGTTACCATTGAGCCACTGGGTCAGAATCCAATGCTCCTCCAACTGATGTCAGTCTTCGATGAATAACAACTTGAAATATTTCCAAATCTCCACAACCCCCTCAAAAAATATTTGATAATTGTTATAACTACTGAAGCACTGCATCATTCGTTACTAACCAGTGACATATTTGCGTACTCCACTAGTGTGTCAAGAAGAAGCATCACTTAACCCCGATATATTTAAAAGCATTTTGGTATTGGCATTATAATAATATACAACAGTTTGAAGGCATTTAACTTCACTGTGCCATCTCCAGAACTACAGTGAAAATTTAGTCATAGACAAAAGCAGTTACAGCAATGTCAATAGTCTTCCAGGCTTGTTTTGTAGTGAATCAATGAATACAACTACTGAGCTGTATATCAGAAGTGAAAAGAAAAAATTCACAAAAATTGAAAAAAGTGGAATTCAATCAGCACTATATAACTGTTGCCCCCACAAATCCTCCCAAAAAGTAAAGAATCTTACCAGCCAAAATGAACATTTTTAAAGCTTGCTCTCAACTGCCTATCAGTACTATTATTTACTAATACTTTTAATGCTACCTTGTTATACTGGATCGAATATCGAATACTCGTTGTATAAGAGGTGGGTACCTCGCCTCAGTGACTCATTGGATAACGCTTTAGTGTTTGAAAAGATGAGTATGAAAGTCAAGTCTCTTTGGTAACAACATCATTTACTGAGGTCTAGGTGCACCTAGCTGACGAGTCTGAAACAGGACGAAGTACGCGTCTTAGACTCTATTGCTAGTCACAACCCAGTCAGTTATTACTTACCAGTAATTTAACATATTTAAGCAAAGACATTTTTAGGTAAACATGTTCCGTAGCAACGTGCGAATAGTATTTCTTGATTTAGAAGAGTGAAATATACTTTCAAGCTGTTTTCCTTAGCCCCTTATAAACGAGATACTTTGTAACTATTTGGTAGTCAACTGAACTTTTATCACCAAATATTCAGTGGCATGGTCGTGCAATTTTACAGTCATATCCACTGAAATAATCAAACGTATGGGCAATAAATGAAACACTAGTTTATTTGCAAAACCTCGTGCTAGTTCTATGACTGAACTTTAGTAGAAATTTTAAACTCGACACTAATCTACCAGTTTGTTTACTCAGAAATATAGTTTTAATTTATGCTCAACGATTTACAAACCTCATATCAGAGCAGCTACCACCAACTGACTTTGATCCAGTTTGTGATCTAAGTTCTATTGAACGTTGACGGTCAATGAGGTCAAGCATTGTGCGCGTTAAATTAATTACAGCTCGAAACTAAATGAAAGGGTAAAAAAGATGTGTTTATCATAAATAAAAGGCATGATGTTCAGTGTAAACTCACAACTAATCTTAAAATTTGGTTCATTTTATAATATACTTAAGGTTGACTCATTTTATCCCTATCTTTAAATAAAATAAACCTTATTGATTAATCACATAATAAATATCAGGTATTTCTCATTATGCAATACGAAACCCAAAATGGTTTACATCTAAGTATTTTTCACCTACACAGGTGAATGACAAGGGAACGAAGTTTTTGAGCAGTGTCGCCATAGTTTCGGTGAAGTAATAAAATTCTATTCATAAATTAAGACGTACTTTGTAGGTCTATGTTTTATAATATGACAAATGTTTATCTTGGATTAAAACTACTCTGACAACCTGAAAGTTGGATGATCAATTTGCAAATGACTTAGAAATTTGACGGTTCGCAGTGGCATTTATCACAGCTGAGTAGTTTTTTTAACGCCCGATTGTGGTGTAAACACTGTTTCCACTGGAAACCAGTCGACCGAAATCACAAGGTGTAATCTTTGATACAAAAGTGTCATGAACTAGTGAACGTTACTAATACTGAACAACGTGGACCATACAATTTGCAAATCATTTACAGATTGTGATTATCTTATTTTAGGTATACCGGTCTATTCAAGTCAGCTAGCCAGATTCAGTTGATCTGAAGTAATTTGGTTCTCTGAGCTGAATTTGTAGGGGAGAAGACGCAGATGAGTTTGGCCTCAAACTAGCAAAATGGCTATCTGGTGTTTAGATCACTCTAATCTGGCTGGCAAAATTCTACAAACTAGACTAAGCAGTTTCTAACTACTTAAGTTGCTCAGTGGCAGTATCTATTGAAAGTTGAATGAGACGTCCCATAAACCCACAGAATTCATTAAATATGCAATTCGTTTTGTGAATAATGATGGCAAGATATATTTCAAAATCAAATTAAGCTGACACTTTCGGGAATATACACATTTTAACTGATCATTAGCTAAAGAAAGGAGCACATATAGTGCTTTTCTACCAATTACTGCTATTAAAGCGTTCAATTAAGAAGTAAACTCACATCAGAAATAGTTAATGTTTGTAAAGCTAAGAAGTTAACCATAGATGGTAGTAGCATTCCCGCTATGTAATTATAGGAAATTTCACCTTTTCTGTCTGATATGAGTCGACGATTTAACGCTAAAAGAATCAAAATTAGAATTGCAGTAGGAAGTTATAAGTTAAATAAAAATATTTATGGTACTTGGAACAGGATTAAACGTATCTCTCATGGAAAACAAAGGATTTTAACTGAATGAAATATGTTTTCATATATAAGTAAACTAATCTTATTTTGCTGAAAGAAGTGATAAGTTAGGGTGATTCGCAAAACGATAATTGTGACTCAATGCTGTAAGAAGTCTTTTATCTCTCTCAAAGTTACCTATTTCCACAGGAGGTTGATGGACGTCTAGGCTGAAATTCAGAGTTTTACAAAATATACTGTACAACATAACTTATCATAGGTTTCTAAATGTTGAGATGACAGAAGTCAAAACCAATTTTCATAAGAATATTCGTCTTCAAATTTCCAATCAATGGAATTAAAACAGACATGAGATTTTAATTTATTTCAATAATGAATAATTCATGATTAATTTTAATGCCAATAACTTCAGACAATAAATTGTTGAAACATTGATTTCATAGAGCATTCAAATCTAATGTGTTTAATATTTTCATAAATGAGCAAACTGGCGCCATGAACTGAGTGAAAAACAGGAATATAAGCTAATGGATCTTAGCCCAATGCAAGCAATCTCATCCAATTTTGCTTAAAGATTTAATTGTTTTTGTTATGTTTCTCACCATATTCATGTGTTTGGAAGTATTGCTTTCCATTAAAAATGAACTACCACCGAAAACACAGTTGTCTCTGAAAAGGATTTTGCTTATTTTTAAGTATGATGAACATGACTTGAAAACTATTTCTTGTTTCAGTTTGCTGTAAGAAGTAATACGCAAACGAATACTAAAATCTTAGTTATTTGGATGTCTGAGAAGTACTAAGTAGTAACTTCCTAAACTTGCAGTGCACCTCAAGCCATATTCAAATTCATTTAAAAAAAGTTTACGCTCGAAAGATATCATAGTTGATAGTGTTCAACATTCCTATGTAAGTTACATTCAACTGCATGTTAGCTGATGGGATGGGTAATAGCTTGAAATCATATGCACAGATTTGTGAGTAAACGCTTTGTTGAGTGAATTTGTATCCAGATATTAAAGTTTATTAATAATATTAGAAATCACTTCGCGTACGTACGCTACGTCTAATGAACTACTAGTCGGTTATAATTGCAAATAAGGAATAAGTTGTTTAGTGTTATTATCATCCCTCAGTGTTTACGCGTATTAAACCCACAATATACTTCATTTTAGAGGTTTGTAAGGGTTCCCTTGACTTTAAGTAAGTGTTCATCACGAACTGACACCATTAAAGAACCACTGGAAACCTGTAGGTAGTGCACAGCTATTTCATTTTAGTATGGGATCTCTCAGCAATGCAGATTAACGACCCCACTAGGGATCGAATGCGGGACACTAGGGTTCCATAGTAAATGTGTTGTCATTGAGCCACTGGGCAGGAACTCAATGGTCAACATTTTTATAATCCTCTAAAGTTTCAGTTATTCTCTACTGATGTCAGTTCGTGACAAATACTTGAATACAACAATATTTGACTATGATACTCTGGTATTTGTTTTTTAAACATTTAAAGTTTATCATACACCTGTATTACCTGAATTTGGAAAAGTCAGAGGTAAATTTTTTTGGTGAAATAATGAAAGGTAGGAGAATGTTATAATCAAAGCACTTGAGCGTAGACGGATTCTTTGGGTATGAAAACTGTTAAAGTCTCTGTTCGTACTGATGACCTTTTTCAACTAAAGTAACCTAATCTGTTTTCATTGGTTGTGAAACCTTGTATCTATATTATTAAGATACAATTTAACCGGTTTTGTTTTATTTTGATCTTAACTTGCTGAATACGTTTCATGAGTTACATTTTAAGAAAATTATCCCTCCTTCAGTTTTTAATATCTTTCATGAAGCAAACCAATGAGGAAAACAACTGTGTTTCTATTCCGATTTTGTAATATGAAAAGTATTTTTTAAGTAACTCACCTACAACTGCAAGTACTAATTCACGGTCAACTGTTCGAATTGTGCTAACAAATGGTAGCACATCCTCACATAGTGTGGATAAAGTCAAATTTTTCAAAAGCCTTCCTATGCATTCCAAGCAAGCAATACGGATCTGGAGAGGATTAAAATAGTATAAATATAAATAAGGACTTGCTCACAATTATTTATTACAAGGTGAGAGATTATGTAGTTAAGATAAAACTCATTTCTAGTGTTTAAAAGTTACTTAATTTTAGGTAGTAAGTTTCTTCGATTCATTTTACCAAGATAGATCGAATTTCATTAGTTTTACAGATTTTATCATTGATAACTGTGAAGTATAAGTCTGTAGAAAGGTGTATTGAAGGATAGTATTTAATTAGTGTCTGAAAGAAATATTTTCCTTTGCGAATGCTGAGAAATCTCATAGTTTTAAGGGAACATTTGATAAACACGAAAGAAAAGTGGGTAAGTAATTTTGAATTTGAGTTTTTGAGTTGATTTCCTTGCGGTTTTCGACTCATAATCAGAGAAACTTCACACTTTTTTTACGTTACGATCGAAATATTACCAATACCAAAACATTTGACATCCGACTGAAAGTGACGGCTTCAATAAAAGAAGTATATTAGATGGGATTACTTTTCCTATAATGACTTATCAAGTTACCACTGACATTTCCAATATGCAATCTCGGTTTTATGAAGCAGTATGAAACAAAACATTTAAGATAAGGAAAGTGATTTCATCTCCCAACTAAATTACTCAGATTTTTCATTTGAGTGACCTGACGTAGAACCAGCGGGTACTGAATGATTTCATAAGTCATCTTTACATCCAAGTCTCAAAACTCTGCAGCAACAATTTATCTGAGTCTGCATGTGGTTGAACTAAAACAAGAAGCGTAACAGTCGGTCATCTATTCAGATGAATTTACATAGAGGAGTTCCCCTCTGCTTTAAATACATCTCAAATGCAACTAAATTTTCCGAATTGTTCCAGTAGGTGACAGTTGCTCAAAACGCACAAAACTAATTCTGTTGTGCTTACCCTTCGTATTTTTTGAGTGACAGTCCGATTCTTATCACAGGTTGTTGACGCTTCTATTACATAAACGATTAAATGAGACAAAATATGGGGCTTCACCTACTGTAAAATCTTTTAAATGAGCACAAAATTACTAACATACATTTTTAAAGTGTTTAGTGTTTTGCTTTCCGGTTACGCGTTTGATAACCTCCGCTAATGAAACTAATTTAAGCGTTACTTGAAAAAAACAACCTCGCCTGGTTAACTAGTTCACTAGTCACTAGCCGGTCCTAAGCCCGGGTAAAGAGGGAAGGTTGGGCATAGGGCTAGCAACCCTACACCGTAAAACAAATCTAACCGCTAAACAAACTTCAAAGCACAAACAAAATATAAAAAATAAAAACAAAATTATTCCTCGTTGGAATCGGGTAACCGAAATGACGACGGTTGGTGGAAGCCTTCGAGAAGCCAATTGGCCGATGTATCTTCTTTCAATGAAAGCGAAAGTAAGAATGGGGACATAGAATGTCCACATCATGTTTGAACCCAGCAAGGCAGCCCAGATTGCAAACGAGATGAGAAGGTATCACATTGAAGTGCTTGGAATTTGCGAAAGCAGATGGAATGGGAGTGGACTCTCCAAACTGTCAACTCGAGAGTCAATAATCTACTCCAGCACTGTCACCCAGACGACAATCACGAGCATACTGAGTTTTCGAGTAGTTATCATGATGTCCCCAACAGCATCGAAGGCTCTCTCTCATCCAGTGGGAACCAATCTCCTCCAGGATCATGACAACAAGATTCAAATCAAAATGAAGGAAAGTCACAATCATACAATGCTACGCTACGCACCTACAAATAATGCAGATGAAGAGAAGAAGGAGGAATTCTACAGACAACTGCAATCAGTACTGAACAAGACCCCACCCCAGTTGGCGACATCAAAATTCTAATGGGTGTGGCGACATGAATGCCAAACTGGGAAGCGGACAACACAGGAAGAGAACTAACCATGGGCCGAGAAGTGCTAGGTGAAATGAATGAGAATGGAGAATTGTTTGCAGAACTCTGTGCATTCAACGATTTGGCGATTGCAGTGAGGCAGTGTGTTCAAGCTCAAGGATATCCACAAAGCGACATGAATTTCACTAGATGGATACACTTCACTAGAAATCAGATCGACTTTATCTCAATCTGGAGAAAGTGGAGACGCAGCCTACTTGACACAAGGTCAAGGGGAGGAGCAGATGTAGGTCGACACCACTCACCATCTAGTGCAAGGAACGTTCTAAATCAAGTTGAAAGCCTTCAAGGAAGTTGGTGATAGAACACAGTTCAAGTAAAACACCCAGAACAGAAACTGAACTGAAGGATGAAACCACAAAGGAAATCTTCACGTCAGTCAGCCATCAAGACAAAATGGGAGATATCGAGGAACATCCCTGAAGAAATCTGTGTGGAAGAACACTGGAAGTCTTTGAAAGCTATGTGGAAAGAAACCTGCACAGCCGTAATAGGAAGGAAGAAGAAAGAAGATAAGGAATGGATCTCGATGGATACATAGAAGCTGACAGAGGAGAGGAGGATGGCGAAGCAGAAGATAAACCAGTGCAAGGATGCACAACGACAAGAGGAACTGAGTACAACCTATAAAATACTACACTGGAGAAAGAAGGGAAGAAGAGTGCACTGAAAGACAAAGATACTTCTACGAAACACTGGCAAGTGAAGCAGAACAGGCTGCAGATAGGAGGACAGAGATCTGACAACATTGTATCAAATAACCAGGTTACTATATGGGAAGAGATCAACACACGTGAAGCCAATTATAGATGATGAAGGAAATTTAATTACCAAAGAAGAGAAACAGAGGGAAACAATGGGCCAACCTCTTCAAAAAACTTTTAAATCGACCACCACCACCACCACCACCTGCACTTCGTCCAGAAATACCACCTGCAGCCCAGCCACAGAACCTACAGGTGAACATAAATCCTCCAAAGAAAGTCGAAGTCCTGAGCGCCTTAAAGCTACTGAAATGCGGGAAAACAGCAGGATCAGACGGGATCCCACCAGAAGCACTGAGAACAGATGCAGAGACAACAGCGGACATGCTCACACCATTATTGTAGAAGGTGTGGAAGGAAGAGAAGGTACCTGGCTAGTGATTAGAAGAAGGGTAACCTTGTCAAACTGCCGAAGAAGGGAGACCTCAGTGTTTGCAAGAACTGGCGCTGAATCATGCTCCACCACTGTCCACCCAGAGCAAGCAAAATATTAGGCCACATCATCCTGGAGAGACTAAAGGATGCACTGGATTCAAAACTACGACCGCAACAGGCTAGCCGGATGGCTTCAGGAAGTACAAATCATGTGTGGACCAAATTGCAACACCACGCTACGCATCATCATAGAACAAAATATAGAATGGCAGTCAACCCTCTACCTCAACTTCATCGACTTTCAAAAGGCTTTTGATAGCGTCGTCCGAGAAGTAATCTGGCAACTGCTTCAACACTACGGAATACCACAAACATTTATCAGCTTCATTCAACAAATATATGAAGACACCACATGCCGGCCAAGTAATTCACAATGCGAAGCTCAGCTCAGTGATGCTTTTGAAGTGAAGACAGGAATGAAACAAGGCTGTCTACTATCACCCATGATATTCCTGATTGTGGTCGACTGGACTGGATCATGCAACAAACAGTGGGGGGTGAGAAGAGGGGGATACGCTAGCTGGACTGCGGAAACGAACTTAGTAGACTTGGATTTCGCCGATGACTTGTGTCTGATGTCGCACAAACTGGAAGATCTGCAGACGAAAACTAACAAGTTGACAGAAGAGGCAGGGCAGCGAAGACGGGACTTCAAGTGAATATAGAGGAGACAGAGGTGATGAAGATACCCAACGAAGAACAACAGCAACAACCAGCTCAAATCATCATGAACGGGAGAAACTTAAGAGAAGTAGCCTGCTTCACCTATCTAGGCAGCACTGTTTCAACTACAGGCGGCACAGGCACAGACGAGGATGTCAAAGTCAGAATCGTAAAAGCAAGACAGGCCTTCATTAGCCTGAAACCAGTGTGGAGATCTTCTGCACTCAGCATGAAGAGAGAACAAGATCCGGATTTTCAACACCAATGTCAAATCAGTGCTCCTATATGCTTCAGAGACTTGGCGCGTTACGAAGGGGATTTCCAACAAACTACAGACATTCATCAACAACTGCTTACGCTGGCTCGTTACTGAAGATCAGATGGATTGCCAGAAAGAATACGCAACAAGGAGCTCTGGGAACGAACCAACCAAGAAGCTATCACTGAAGAGATATGCAGTGGAAGGAAGTGGAGATGGATTGGGCATGCACTGAGAAGGCCGACTGGGGACATTACGCTTCAGGCCGTCGAGTGGAATCCCCATGGGAAGAGATGAGTTGGACGTCCGAGGGTGACATGGAGGAGGTCGTGCGAGGAAGAAATGAGAGGTTGTAGGCTGTCGTGGAGCCAGGTTCAAAAGACTTCAGAGAACAGAGAGCATCGGAGACGTGCTACTGAAGCCCTATGTTCCACTAGGAACCCAAGGGACTAATAATAAATAATAATAATTTGAAAAAAACACTTCCCACCAGAAATATTTACAAATGAATACACTTTTTTAACGATCTGACTTGAAAGAATACACATATCCAGCTGGTGTGACCAATTACTGTATGTTAAATATGTAGATGCAAATAAATGTGCAACGAATCCTGTTGAAAAAGTGTTTAAATTTTAAGTTTAACATAACTCTACGCGATCCTGTTCTTCTAACCTCTTAGCAAAGTGTCTTTTAGGATTAGAAGAATACTAAATACATGGTGTGTAATGATCAATCCATAGACACAGTAAGCACTTAGCCTAGATGTACGCTGTACTATCACTGGATGAGGAAGCAAACATTTCCGCTGTGTTTAAACACTTCCATCTATATAATGACAGAAGACATTATATTTTGAAGACAATGCAATAGAACTAGCGTGGTACAAGTTTCTAAAAAGCTGTCACTGAAATTCATTCTTTTTACTTCGACAAAGAGTGCAGTTTTATTCTTTTTGTATTTACTTCCGTAACTATATTAAAAGTTTTCTTTTGCTCTCCTAAAGAACTGTGACGTATACGGAAACAGTCAGAATCGAAAAAAAATATTGAAAATTATAGATGAATAGGAAGAAATGTTGCTTCTTCAGTTTAAAATGGCCCTGGTAACATAGGCATAACATCCTGACATTTGATCATTGGTTTAAAGGAATAAACAGGGTTAGACTAGAAGAGAATTCACATAAGGCATTAGTAACCAATATTAAGATTACTCATTATTGTCATTTGGTATAAATAGGCATATAATATCTAAGACAAAAGGAAAGTCGAATTTGTGCACAGATTTAGGCTTCTGTTATAGTACTCTTAAACAAGAAACCGTAAAACATTCTTACCTTGGGGTTTGATGTTTGCGGTGATAAATTTCTTTGAGGCGTGGTAAAATAGACTGAACGATCTGGGTGTTACTAAGATATTTCGATAAAACTGAAATTGAGTTCTGTAAAGTTTCCTAAGGTACGTGGGAAATAGTGAGAAAAAATTAAGGAAACAACATGCTACAAAACTACACATTACAATACCAGTAAAGCATTACTTTCTAGAAATGATTACAAGATCGTCTACCCTAATAAGTTTGGAAGTATACATTTCACACGATGACTGTGAAATGCAGTAAACTAACAGAACAGTATAATAAAGTACCGTTCAGCAGGCTCTTCGATATCATAGAATTTATTAAGACAAGGATGCTGATGTCATCATATGTTTTTCAAATTACTGTTTAACCTGTCATACAGAGTTACTGTGTGCTTAGGAATGAAGTGGTCATGACGCATTGAAAACAAATATGTATGTGCATTGTATTCAATGATCTTAAACAAAGTGCACTTCAGCATTGAATAGATGTCATTAATCTAGGTTAAATGAGCTACTTAATCGTCACGTAACATTGAGAAATAATAATTCGGAGATATCAGGCACAATCCACGGACGGGATTGTCTACATCTTCAACTGGAAATTACATGTACCATTACAATAACTGATACTCGTTGCACAAGAGGTGGCTGTCATGCCCCAGTGAATTAGTGGATTATGCTCTGGTATTTGAAGAGAAGGGCATTCGGTTCGAACCTCAATGAGAAGAACATGACTGACTGTGGTGTAGATAAGTCCAGCTGACTAGTTCTGAATACGATTAAACGTCCTGGATTCCTCTGCACTTTGCCATAATGTATCTTCAACGCAACCGAATCGTTTTCCAGGAATGAGGTTATTACCATCTAGTCTATGAAAGATGTTTAACAGTTTAAGATAAGTTGAACAAGAAAGATGTTAAAAACTGTCAGGAACAACAATTAATTGCAAACTCTAGTTTGAAACATGTACTTTTATTCACGTGCCATCTTTTAAAATTTTTCGATTAGTTCCTGATACACAGGTCTTGATCAGCCAAGCAATGAACATATTTTAGTATTTCCTTCCAGTTATTTTAAACAAAAATAAAAATGTATTGAGAAGTAGTCAGTCTTTTCACGTGCAGGCAGAGGACTCATTATCTACTACTCTCCAATTATAAGAAATACTTCTCAAGTGCACTAAGTGTCCAGTAAATAGCATCAATCAAATATTTTTCGCTTAATGTTTTCCATTATATCTCTTATAAACTCCTACTCATAGTTACTTGTATCTTACTCGGTTGTCTTACAGGATTATTGGTGTGAAATGCTTAGGATACCCAAACTAGGATGAAACAGCTATTCAGCGCTCCCAGTGATGCTCTAAATGATGTTAGTCCGTGATGAATATTATCCTGAAATCAGCGAAGTATATCTCCACAAACTTTCAAATTGAATTATAGGAAGTATTGGCTTGTCGAAGTTGGGTACTCATTTCCTTGTGAATTCAAGAGACGTTTTACTTAATTTAATCAGCAAGATTGATTTTTTAAGCCTTGGTTTGGAATATAGTTGAGTCTTGCTAACTTCTTCCTAGTGCCTCTTTATCGGTGCTTCATCTATCAAAAAGGTGTATGAATGAATCTCCATTGTAATTTTAAACAATATTTATGTTTCTACTCCTCCACGTCTTAGGATTACATATAAGGTTTGTTCAAAGGTGTTGAAAGATTTGACAACGTCATTTTCTTATTTGCTGCTGAATATGTTGATAAATTCATAGTAATATTTGAAACATTGAAAGAGAGGTGAGATTCAGAACGTATGAGTAAATCTCGATTTTGTTCATATCATATCTCTATGCGTTAATCGATAGATAAATGGTGTTTCGAAATTGAAGCAGGGAGATATGCATGTAATCAATGCAAAAATAAACATGACAAATGTTGGTAAATATGACTATGCAGCACAAGATTTAGTTGACAAAAAGGATTTTCCTGTTAAAACACTGTCAACGATATTTGCTTCTCTGCCTAATCCTTATAGGATTTGTAACCACGAAATTTTCATACGAGGGATGACTTCGAATATGAACACAGAAACTTTTTATATTGATTGTTTTTGGTGGTATATTTGCATAATTCAAATTAGATGTAAGGATAAATACTTTATCAACTCGTATGCTGTGGTTACATATTCATTAATATGCATGGAAGCATAACAACATAAGCTTACCAGTGATTTTGGAGTACCGGGTTCAAGACAAACAAACAGTTCTGGAACAAGAAGATTTCCAATGTCCTCCTGGCTAATATGATTGATGAAAAAGTCTGTGAGATCCATTATCACCATAGTTGTCTAAAAAGTAGATCAAGGAAGCATAATGCCATGGGTATAGCATAAAGAAAGTTGAAAGTATCTCAGTTCTTCTTGTCAACGAGTGATGAGTGACACCAGGTGATAGAAATTCTACGAATTATTACAGAATTTCCAATATGGCTTTATCTGCCTCAAATAAAGTCACCGGCATTTCTCGTGGTCCACCTTGGGAATTATTTAGGAGTTATACACCACATAATCAAACAAGCTGTTTAGGAGTGTATCGAATCTTAGACGTTAAAATGAAGCTTTGCTAAGACAAAACTGCACTACTTTACCGCTATTATGAAACGTTTATGACAACTAATAGTGAAATGGCATTGCTTTGTCCTTCATATTTAGTAGTAACTTTGTTTAGTTCATCATCGTTAACCTCAGAAATCATTTCACTCATTACACTCCAGTCAAACTATCACCAAAAGATGTAGTGATGACCAGTATTTATCAGGGTGATTTTAAGATTGATTCAACCGAGATGTTCAATCTACTCCCAGTTTTTAACGAAGAAAGAAATCACGAGAGTAAGACTGAAAAGTTTTATAATTGTGTCAAGAAAGCCAGTATATGCTTTTAATTAAGTGATGCTAATAACTTTACCTATAGCTACAGATAAGTATTACTATGAACATGCTATATTTCATTGAATATTACATCTTGAATGAGGTTTAAATGTGAATAATTCGTCCACTTATTGAATGAATGATTAGTGCTATAAGACTAAAACTAATTGATGACCCCATGCAACATTTACTTAAAAGATTTAAATGGTGAATCCAACTAGATCTAATTTATCAATCATGGGATAAATTCTTGATTGAAAACTATGTGAACTAAGGTTTTCATACGCTATGTGAGACTGTTTTATGTATTTCAAACTTCAAAAATCCCTTATCAACCTATTATTTAAAAATATTTCACAAGGCTTTTATTTTAAATAAGTTCATGCTCTAATTATTCTAAGAAATAAGCTACACTCCACTATCTTATAATCAAATCATAATCCATACCAATACTTAAATTTCCAAGTTGAAAAAATATTTTCAACAAAGATGTAACATCAGACTAGTTTTTTTAAGATAATACTGACATTTACAGCATTGCGTATCAAGTGTTTAAATACAGTTGATGGGAGAACGTGAACTGAAGTTCCAATCTTCTCGTCTTTCCTATTGCACTACAGGGTAGAGTAGGTATTTAAACAGATGACTGAGCAATTTTTAGTATGGGTCGAATGGCTGACTAGGTTTTTCGTATTCACCCTATCTACATTGTTTTCTGACCAGATAGCTGACCATGAAAATTCTCTTCACCGTCCAGTCAGATAGGTTAAATTCACATAGCCTCGTACGATGTGAAGAATTAATTTCTTCTAATTAGCAGCACATTTTTGACTAATAAACGTATAAATTAACTGATTTGCGGCATAGAAAAATCTGTTGACTATTTTTTGATACTATGAATGTTAATTTAAGCATCAGTATACGCTGAACCGATGACTACAGAAGTGAATATTAACTTAAAACAATATCTGTATTAGAAACCTTATTCAATGGGATTGACGGGAGATGAAAGTTCGAAAGTCCCTTGAAATAATAATTAATAGACAGTTAATTATAGGATATATTTAAACTTGCAAGAAAATCACTGACATAACTGACCAGTGTCGATGGTTCATAGATTTAACGAGTTTGTTTAATAATGAAGTTAAATATATCACAGTTGATCTTATTATTTAAAATGATGCTCACCACTTGAACAATTAGCATCATTTTACCAAAACAAAATGAGAAAATATCTATGGTTTGGTGTAAATTCAGACGAATGATTTAGTAGTGAAGATCAAAAGAAAGTGAACTTGAATCAAACTTAGGAAGTATTAAATCCTACAGACTGTTATTGTGAGGTAGATATGATGTCAATGACATTTGAGTTTTTTCATACTATGCTTTGAATTACCTAGGTATATCTAGAGTGATCGTACAATAGTTTTGACATTGAAGAGTGCATTGCATTGTTTGAATTACGAGAAAATTAATATCATTTCTATGAGTTCACTACTCATTATGTGGTAAATGAAAATGTCTTGGTTGTATTGTGTTCTCTGAGCTGGGTTGTTTAATCGTGAAGAAGTTAGTGCTGATGATGTCGTCTAGCAAGGCGATGAAAGCTTCACGATTAAACAATCCAGCTCAGAGAACACAATACAACCAAGACCATCCACCTGAGCTACAAATATTCTCCATTATTTTAAATGAAAATGTGGGTAGAATATTCATTCTTTAAGAATAACTATTGTCCAAATGTTTGAAATGAGAAAGTCTTAAAATGTTCTGAACTTAAGATTTTAACTTATATTCTAAGTTTCTTTTCCTTTCCTCACTTTCTCTTTCAACATGAACAACAAAAACATTCTGCTTGTAGACATCACCAATTGTTTATTTCATTCGAAAATTTAGAGAATTTTTGCGATTTGCTAAGTTTACTGAAGTATAAAAACGCATGCACAACATTGTAGTATAGATAAAGAAGAACAATGCAAAAGGAAATAACAGTAATAGTGTTCAATCAAGCAGACAAAGTGCAAATTAAATCCATACTGTTTATTATAAACTGTATGCTGGACTAACATTCTAGTGGTCACACATCACTAGGTTGGAAAATTTTCCATTTCTAATATTCCTTCTTTTGAGTGTGATTATGCTTAAATGTCTGAAAAATTCAGTGTCATTAAAAGGTATCTTATTTAGACCTAATGATGAGTAATGTGTATGCGGGAAAATTATCATAGAGAGTGAATAACTTGAGTTTGGATTCTTATATGGAAAAAATGAACTGACACTTAAGAGTAACACGTGCTAATTCACTAATTGCAGTCAGTTAGTAGTAATAGAGTCGCTAAACAAACATCTAATTACCTAACAAGTTAGATTTCTTTGTATCCTTATTAGTTGACACTAATAAATCTGAACATGTGAACCATTGACAGTTCAGTTACTAGCAAGCTATATTGTGAATTCAGCCTAGTAATTCTACCAATTCTCAATGACCAACTGAAGCGTTTAAACATAAAATCAAAGGTTGGAAGTCAGTTGTGGCATAAAGATAATGTTCTTTTCTTCATACGATAGTTTAAAGTACAAGGTAGTTAATATTTCCAGCTATCATGGTGGCTAAGCTGTTGTTTTCAGAGAACTGCATACACTCGCTTTTATGGCCACAGTATTCCAAAACAATCTTGGCACTTTCTGTGTAGCAAACTCCACCATCACCATATACTGTGATTGATTTTGAATGTTTAAAGGGGACTGGCTAGAAAACCTTAGCGTGTGCTTCACTTTTGTTGACACGTGCTGGAAAAGAGTGTTGGCAACATCAACTGAACTGATGTCCTATCATAGATGAAACCTGTATCTCAAATTGCTGCATTTGATCATGTTGACACTGATTGACGAAAGATTTGTGAAAGTAATCGTTAGAAAGCCATGAATCTAAATAAATCAGAAACAGAAGCTGCCAAATGATTAGTAGGACTCGATCAGCACTAACGACTAAAAACCATAAAACTGGTTTCTCGTTAGTGATCAATCGATGTATCTAATGCAGTCTGATACCGGTTTTGATTTCTAAGGGGACATAGTTTCCGCTAGAGTCATGTCTTGCTGACAAGTGCTGGTAGATATGAAACCTAGGTCGAGAGCTAACTAAATTGACATTTGGTTCATCGTGTAACAAGTTATCTTATTCTTAAGGGTGACAGTGAATTGTCATAGGTCACCAAATTTATTCTTTACTTTATGATTGATTTCAACCAGCTTCTTGACTGAGAACAGCCGGATATATGTTTCAATGTAGTATACTGTTAGACTAATTGAGATATCTTTGTTATATATATATATATATATATATATATATATATATATATATATATATATTAACAGTCGATGTTGAGTTTCAGAAATCAACAGATGAAGGTTATGTAATGCAGAGAGATGAGTATCAATAAAAAGTATTCGTTGGTAAAAGGTCGGCTCAAGAATTTCGCTTCATCAAGAATATGTTGAAAAAACAGTCCAGCGCTCCTATTTTTTCACTGGTTCATCAGTTAGTGTCAGTTCGTGATGAGTACTGGACTGAAACAGTCAAGAAATATAGATTATAAAGGAAAAACAATGATTACCACGAGATCTGTCAAAAACATTCGAAAAAGAGTACTTCAGAAAAGAAGTTAATTTTACCGATAAATTACCTGAAGTGACTTTGGTTCAGTTAAAATTTTATGAAGGTGATATTTTAAATATTTATCATAATCATCCGGTTCAGCCATCTTAACGATTGTCAGGAATGATGGTAGAATGTAAGGGACCAATTCACTTGAATCATATAACCAACGCAGTATCAAATGTAATATGTATTTGTATCTCACAATCTGAAAAAAATGTTACAAAGAATATTAGCAAATGCAAAACATTTCCCATTATTTAATGCAAAATGAAAAACATCCAGGTTGGTATTCATCATGGACTGATATCAGCTGGAGAAACATTGGGAAGCTGGGAGCATGGGACAGGTGTCTCGTCCTAGTATAGGATTCCTTAACGATGAGCACCCTTAACCCCGCTAAGAATCGAACCTTGGATTTTCATGTTTTGTGGTCATCCCTTCACTACTAAACCATTGGGTCGGATTTCAGTGGTCTACATTTCCTGAATGTCCTGAGTTCGATCCCCGGTGGGGTCATAAGGCAGTCATTTATAACTTGAAGGCACTGGATAACTAGGTTCATTATTTTGATACACACTGCTTAGATCAGTCGATTCCTTGCAAAATGTTCAACTCACTTACGTATTCCTTTTGTCACACTATAATTGAGATATTTGACGAAAATCAAGAGATGTCGACAAACAAACGTATTCAAATGTTCATCAAAAAAGCCTGAGTAAATGTTTACGAAAACCCCTTTGTTAAGTTGAAAAATCTGTAGGTACTAAAAAAATGTCACCCATATTAATGTTCGTCTTTTAATCTTTACAAGTGGTTTAGATATTTCCATTTTGATAACTAGAAGACAGTTTGACAATTACATTTACAGATTGTTCAGCATATTTATTTGATACCAACATGGTTAATTTAATTGGGAATATGTAAACTTTACAAGTAGACTAAGAAAGCCATTTTGAGCCTTACGCTTTACCGGAACGAGTCAACTGGCCATGTTCTGAAACAACATGAAAGGATAAATCCAATAGGCACAAGTGTTCAGAACAAATTAACTAAGACGCATTAGGTGTATAAGGCTTTAAGAAGAAAATTGGTGATTTGTTCTGGACTTTTGTTGTTACCCTTATGTCATAGTTCTGAAAGTTCCTGAAAGATAACAACTTAGCTCTATCTGGGGGGGGGGGTTACATTACTGTAGCTCAAGGAATCAAACCGCATTCACAAATCCTCGCTCCTGTTTGTTGCACAACACTCCACTTTATAATCTTTGTGCTCAGTAATGGTTTATAATGTTCTCAAGCACTTCAAAAGTATATTCTCATGATGCTGTATCATTAATGGATTATGTGGGACTGACATAGTTCTTCGGGGTAGTTTTCATATATCCTTCGTCTATACAGCCTTAAGGATTGTAGAACTGTTTTTTTAGGAAGAACTTAGTAAAATGAAACAACTCAGTTGAGCGGTTAGTGATATTTATGGCGCCGTTATTAATTTTAACCTTTCAATGAGAATAAATGTATATTTGCATCAGATTAGAAACATTTGCATCAAGTAGAACATAAGTAAAAATTTGCATTTGTGGAAGCTTTGTCAAATTCATTCGAACAACAAACTACAGTAGTTTGAAAGGGTATGAGGCAGACTTTAGAAGAGATTAACAAGAACATGTATCACATTTGTTGCATAAGAACCCACTATTCTACCCAGTCTTCCAAACATTGGTAAGTGAAGCAGACTTCGAATTCCTAATCTACTGGCTAGAAAAGAACACTTGTTGATCAGAAACAACAAAAGAGACTAAAATTGCAATAATGGAAATACTAAAATACTGATGCTGTTTAGAAAAGATTCTTAGTGACAAAGATCAATGTTAAAGTCAAGTAGAAATTAATCTTTGAAAAGCATGAATTTTAACTGCAGAATATTGAATCTGTGGCTAAATTTTCATATTCAGGTGATCGCACTGAAGATTTGTAGCCAAAATCAGTGAATTTAACCTCCAAGCTTTATTCAACTTTTCTCACTTATGGAAGTTTTATTGTCTTTCTCAATAATTTTCATGATGTAACAATAAGATTATCATCAAAAATGTACACTATTTATTGATATGCTCGTAATTCTTCGTTGTTATACTGGATCGAATTGTTCGACAACAGAGTTACAAGCATATCAGCAAATAGTAATAACTAATATCCATTGTACAAGAGGTGGATTAGAATTACATGAGTCTGCAAGCAATAATTCACTGTTTTATTCTTATTTGAGTCGTCTTAGTCAGGTTCACTAACAGCTTCATCGTGGAAGAAATCCGACACCATCGTCTCTGGTTCTATTTTAAGATTAAACTACATCAAGAACTGTCAGTCAATAAGTCTTAAATTATTAGCTTGCTGGTATTATGATTTTGAGTGGAATTATAAAGACTGATCGCTTGTAAGGGGTTACCGACTTGGCAAGAATAACTGCTAATTGCCTCATTAGTTTTCAATGAGTCTTGAAGTAAGTAAGTTTTTGAACAACATTGCTGACTTCAACCAGAAAAACAGCTTTCAGTGAAAAAAAACAAGGGAAAGTTGAAATCTTTTCAAACTTAAGTCCTTGTTTGCTAGCCACTTTATTCCTTCTTCACATGTGATCTTTTCATCTTCTAGATAATCGATGTATTGGAATAAATCCAATAAAACTTATCGAAGAAGCATTAGAAGCATATAAAAATAGGGAGACTGAAGCATGTGTCAAAGAAACAAGTGAAAATCTGAGAATTGAAAACGCAGAACCTATTCCATTAGCAAAGGTAAATAGTTTTATCTACTAGTTAGATATTATTGTTGTAGTTTGCCATGGAGTTACATCATTCCTAAGCGATGAGTAAAAAGAAAAAGAATTTTTTACGAGTAAGCGATGTAACATTTTGCCTATTATAAGTAAGACTGTACAGCTTAATAATAAAGTCGTCCGTTGAAAAAAAATATTTCTTCGTTGATAAAATAAATCTTGTTCTTCCTGTCCATTAATAAATGGGTATATTTCGTCGTCTAAAGAATTTAGAGATTATCTTGCCAAACTTTATTCAGTCAGTCATCTATACTTTTCCAATCCAGTATACTAGTTATGTTCTTGTTAGTTTCCAGCAGCCTACCACAAACTAACCGGAAATATTGATAAATATAAGTGGAAGATCACACCAACAATGAATTCTAAAAGCCACCCGCTTTCTTTGAATATCTAATTAGTGCTTAGTTGAAAGGGACATCTGTGTACTCCTAACTTTGGAAATAAAGCTGCAAAACATATGCATAATATAAAGGAATAGAGAAAATAGGAACTATGTAAAACATACCTCAAAGCTATGGAGTTGTCCTGATAAGAATATAAACAATTAATTCTGTCCTCAAAGTTATGCAGTAAAAAATGCTGCTTCACTTTTAGACACATCTAATAAAGAAACTGAAGTAGAATTACCTATGACATCCCTGTATTGATCCAATGTTTCCGTCATGCTAAGAGAAGAATATATATGTTAGTTGATTGGAGGCAATCGGCAGGAAGCCATGGACATAGATTTCGTGCTTTTCGGCACTCGTCAGCAAGGCGTATCTGCAACCTCGACGGAACTGATGTCCCGCCCGAGATTCGAACCCGCGTCACCCAGTGTTGTAGTCAGCGACTTTACCACCGAGTTATTCGGGCCGCGACTGACCTCCTGTAGGACTGGCTTACATGTATTGATGGTCACGGGAGTGCAACCAATTTCATGTTGTCTAGTCCTGAGTGCAGATCGAATTCTATCGATCATATTTGCAACGTGGCAACCAAGCTAGGAAGCTCAGCATCAATACAAATTCGCATGAACATTCACCTTCCTGTCTTTAATTGAAAGAAACTAGCATAATGTCATGACCGACACTGAAAACTATCAAAAGGGCTGATATTAATTTTTTCGAGATGCTGTATCACATGGACACTGAATAATTTAGTAAAGTAGATGAACTTAAGACAAAGTGTCAACAGAAGGCACTCTTTAGAAGAGTATGAGGTTTCTTAAATCTTATGACTCCGTTGACAGTTAGCTCCAATGTCAGTGAATCCCATTAAAGTGTTATTATATAACGTTTTCTAACATCAGTTTGTTTGTTGTCCTGGTAAAGCTCCTTTACTTTTCAGCTTTCAATAAAATGGCTATGATTACCATCTGACCATTTTTATAACTGATTCTATAATATAATTTGTACACTAGTTACTTATGCCCTACATCCTACTCCAATCAGTATGGTACTTTGATGAGTCGCTGTGTTTTAACCAAAAGACCAGACACCATTTTACCTGAATTTTTACCGAATCCCACCTGTAATGTATACATATAAGATTTTAGATCTGCTTGTTTGTTGACAAGTTACCAAGGAAGGAACGCGGAAGTGAGAACAGTGGTTGCAGATAAGTAAGTTAATTCACTCATGAACTTCAAGATCGCTTACTCACTAACTTGAATAGAATATTTTACTTGCGATGAACTGTCATCTAATTTGACTTGTGATGAAGAATCTAATAGTGTTATATTGAAGGAAGGCTAGGGATGAACAGAATACGACATGCCATAGATAGATCGAATTACTTAGTGTTGATGAAAGCTGTGCTGCGAAGTATAAATTATTTGATTGGTCCTCTGTTAGTTATAGAGAAAGAACAATTTATGATCCTGGTTGATATGGTGTGAAGCTGATCAAAAATATCTGAAGCACTTACATACTACCTTTATTAAAACTTAATTTTCTCTATTATTTACTTATGCTTTTCGAAACAAATTGTGACTCTTGTTTTTTCTGCGTTGTCAGAAAGTATGACAATATCGGTGTCTACGCTTTTATGCTAAGCCACTGGGTGATAGGAAAATACGTGATGTGGTATTACTAAACTACTTCTTGGTAGCGCCAAATACGTTTTAGGACGAGATCAATAAAGCATTTACTGCTTCTCTGAAAAGCCCGTTGTTCTAATCTGAGGACACAAAGATTCCATTGCTTCCACGGAGAAGTCTTATCTCAAATGTAGTCGTTTAGATGATCAAACAGAGATAAATATATTGACTAGGCCACTGTGGTTGCTATCGAGTCTATTATTTGGTAAAGGATTGTAAAACATACTTTAGACTGATTACACTTGCACCTAATACAATACTTCTGTAGTTGATACTAAAACGATTTCTATTTCATTTGTCAAATAAATGGTATGCATGTATATGTTGTGTGTAAAAAGAGTTGAAAATATATCTTATAAAACAGCCTAAGCTAAATAGTTACCTGGAAAGATGTTGTCGTAGAGCATTGATATCAACTTGATTACAATTTAAAGTCAAGTAGCATATGAAACTCACCTCCTCTTAGTTATGAACATCTGACAATGCACACAACCAATTGCATTTGGATTCAAAATTAGGAGATTCGAGCCTTTTTTTCAATAATTTAACTTACAATGCAATATTTTCTCGTTTTTAATATTTTTCACATAACTTAAATTTTTATAATAAAACAATTCGAAAGGCTGCAAAGTAGTATGTATATACTTATATTTTGTTGTTATTGCAATATATATTACGCTGAGAATTCCAAATTGTACCACAAATTGTTTGGTATAAAGTGAATTATTATTATTATTATTAGTGTGGCCAAGTCGATATTAGGCTATTGGGTAAAAAGAATATGCTTAACATCCTCCAACTTTCATCAGCTCATAATTACTGCGACATTCACTAGTTATCACCAATAACATTCCATCTTTACTTTCAACTTAACTGATGACATAGGTTGTGGTTTTTATCTCAAACATTCCGAAAGTCCGTATTTAAGTTGGTAACTAGAACAAAACAGTTCTCAGTACTCTGTTTTTCATAGGTTCTTAGGCTTGTGTCATATAATTAGAATAGGTCAACGATAATCACTCTAACTGCAGCACTGAGTGGTGAGGGTATGGACCTCAGAACGAGTATCACTTCCTTCAAGGTGACAGCTACGTCTTACAAATGTGTAGCTCATTGACTTAGATATTCATCTTTAAAGCAGTGGATCCCGAATTTGAATCCCACACCGTCTAATTTGCCTCGAGAAACCAGGTAGTATTATTAATTGTCATAATTAATTACTACCTAGAATAAACAACACAAACCAAGATCACTGTCTAGCTGAGTTACATCAGTTTAATTCATTACTTAGTCGAAGCACTGTAATCAAGGTTAAACCCTCGTCTTTAGTGCTAATCATATGTTGCAGTGAAACTGAATCTCACAACACACCAATTTTCTGTATTCGAGGTAATATACTTTTGTACAATTTACAAAAATCCCTACTAAGAGACTTTATACCACTTGACATATACCAGAGAGGTGTATTAGTAGCCTCAGTGATATTCATACCTATGTGAAAAATGTTACATAAAGATTAAACGCAAAATAACTATTACCTCTGAATGTTTATGACCTGCATAAATTTTCTGTACAGTTGAATTAATGATATCTTTCCATATGTTATCATTATCGCAAATTTAAATTAGACCATTGTTATTTATGAACTAAAAAATGTGTAACAATTTATTTCTCCCAGCTATCATCTAGAGCAAAATTAGGGGAAATCTTATGGAATGAAATGAAAGATGGAAAGGAAATATCTGATAGTCTTATAGTTGAGTTAACATATGAAAAGATAAAGTAAGTTAACAGCGATTTTGAATACTTATGATAACTAATTATTCAGACACTTTTCGTAGTAATGTAATACCCACACCATCAGTTACAACAACACTGCATTAAACAGCAGAAATACGCAACACATAATCTATCCAATCTAACTAATACAAATACAAAACCTCAGCTCACTTACTGCCCTTCTCTGAAATTACAATATTAGCTTGACTAGTGTTCGTCTTAAAGTATTATTCTTCACAAACTGACATCAGTTTGAGAGCCATCAAAAACCTAAAAGTAGTGGACAGCTGTTTTGTCGTAGTATGGGATTCCTCGGTAGTACGTACCCATGACTCCATCGAGAACTGAACCGAGGACATGCTTCGAGAAGGATTTCTTGAAGTCCTAATAGGAGTCTGTAGTCTGTGGTGCCAACCAGCCAGGAGTGTGACGAACTCCAACTGATGATTCTAAGTGATAGCTGAGGTATGTCGCGAATTAGCAGAAGTAGGAAACTAAGGACCATCGAACTTTTACACAGGGTTGGATAGCTAGAGCACTCACCGTGGAACTTGAGGGTCCTGAGTGCGATTTCTTAAGGGGTCATGGGTGCATACTGCCAAAGAGTTACATACTGGACAAACAGCTCTCCAGTACTCCCAGTTTTTCAGTGGTTCTCCATATGACGTCACTTCTAGATGAATAGTGCCTTTAAATAAGTAGAATCCCCACAAATCTGAAAGAAAATTATTATTCATCTGTTTATTCTGTCCCTTAAAGTGAAGTACAGACTTCCATGAATATCAAATAATAGTCACTTTTTTTACTATCAGTATTAATCGCACATCATAGTGATATAATAGATGGAAGACTGAAGTCGCAATATATACACATGATTTATTGAAACTGGAGACATCTAAATCCCGCTAGCAAGTCTTGATCAACCCCTTTATGCTCATACAACTTTGCTCATACCTATTTTGTGATGATTGATGTAGATATTGGAAAAATGAAGTCAGTGTGCTTACTTGTCGGATTTATTTACTATCAGAATGTACGTGAGCTTGAGCCAGTCCTTAGACAATATTTTCATTTTTAAGGTGTACGACTTACCTTGTAGATAGTAACGACCACTGAAGCAACATGAAGTTGATAGTTTTTGCACCGTAAGCATCTCTCTCTACATAACCACCTTATTACAAGATTTTCAATTACTTTTTTGAAATTCACCGGTTCTACTCAATCAAATCCTACAGAAAATTAATTGTAATCACAAAACAGAAAAAGGGATATAGCTAACTGCATCACCCGTTGAGACTGTTCAAGTCTCTGATAAGGTGTAAGTATCCTCGAGGTTGCAAAAGTCGCTTAGTGAAGGTTTTTTTTATCATACTTACTTCCAACTATTGAACACATATGTGGTTCACTTATATAATCCTTCCACTTACTATCTATAATAAGCTTATCCTTCTCATTTTATCTAGAACACTTCAGCCTTCAACAGGGTTTATACTTGACGGTTTTCCAACTAATTATAATCAAGCCAGACTACTTGAACAGAAGTTGACTGGATACAAATGCGAAAACAATACGTCTTCAAATAACTCATCTGCAAGGTCCAAATCAGAAAACATACAACAGCTCAAAGGCTTGGATATTATAGTTCTATTAGACGTGTCAGATGAAATTATTTTAAAGCGGTTAGCACATACAACATTGTCTAAGATAGAATTAAATTCTTCTTCTGTGGTAAAGTATCCAATGACTCATGAAGAAACAGAGATGCAATCATCCTCTTTCGTGAACAATGAAACTAATAATGATGGTAATAACGATAAAAATTTGGACAATAATCGAAGCGTAACAACACATACGGACAGTTTTAACTACTCACTAACTTTACAAGAAACCCAAGGTAATATACTTGAAAGACTAAGTGAATTTGTTCACTCATGGCCTAAGTTATATAAATTTTATCATGGAAAGTTATCAAATTTGTGTGTGGTGAATCTAACTGATTTATTATCAAATTCAACATGTGCTCATGACGCTATTGGAGATATCGATGATGATACGAAAAATGAATCATATAAACTGGCTGTTTATTTAGAAGTTGAAAGGCAAATTGAATTATTTATTGAAAGAAGAGAACAAGACACAGATAAGGCAAAATTATCTGAACAAATTAGACTAGATGCGACTCCTACTAATCTGGATAAATTTGAAGAGGCAGAGAGTAAACTTACATTACTATCAAGCGCTATAACCGCAGCAATGGACAATGACAAGAATAGTAAAGTAAGTTATAGGGAGCCTATGCACAATTTTGACTGTAGAAATCCACTCGTAAACCTTTTCTAAGTTGTGCTAATTAAAAATGGGTGTAAAATTATTTAGCATGCTCATAATAGTATTCTGCCAGTAATTCCAACACAATTTCCTAGTATTCCAACTGAACTAAAAAGCGTGTCTTATTAGGGTGTCAGATTCATTATCACAAGGATATCTGTAAAATTATCTGAGTCGTTAAGTCATATTGACTGATTCAATGAACTTCCTGTTGTGTAAATATACTTCTCAATATCTTATGCTGAACTGCTGAAGTAAAGCAAATTTGAAGGGTTCCGCTTAAAGTCTTTTTACCAGTCACTTCATCGAAAGGTTATTGAGCTCAATCTCTGTCTAAAATATTAAAGACCATCTTAATTTCAGCAAACGAAATGATTGTTATTCTGGATTAAATGTGGTGGCGCTGGAGGATTTGGTGTAGTGTGGAAACTAGTGAATGTATCTATCTCACAAAAGCAATTTTGCCTGTTATTTGTAGTTTAGGTTTCTATAAGTTTTACTTAGTCTGTGTAACGTGACTAAGACTAATAATCTAAAGATAGCTGATAACAAGTTGGTATCTCACCTACAGAGGCCTTTTAAAATACCAGTATTAATAATCGCATCATTCTAAAATGAAGAAATACTTCCTCTATTGGATACTTTTCTCAACAATTTTTTCGGCTTCTTGACTAGATTTCATTTTCATCCTTCAATCATCTCCAAGATAAATAATCTTGTTGTCTCATGGCATTTCAATCCCTAAAATTTATTTGATACAGGAGCTTCGTTCATTTAACAATGAAAAGTATAGGATTGTGGTCGAAATCACTAGTTCCACAGGATATTGAATTGTGTGTGAAGATTACTTGTCGGTGCACTAGCTGTCTTATAGACTATCTTACCGAGACTAGATGTCTTATTACTAGTGCTTCTCTTTAAGTGAACTTACTGTCTTCTCATTACGGTTGTGTGCTATGAATATCGGGTTTCACGGTCTAGAGAAATTCCGCATTTGGAAAATTCTGAGAAATAATATGCTTATAGGCCTGTTGAATGGACTGAAAGGTGTCAAAACGTTATCATTAAATGGATCTGATATGATACATTTAGATCACGGCTGAGCTGTTGGAGGAAGGATTTCAGGCACCAAGTCGGTTACCTTTGTACCATTATTTGGTGCCGACGTAAATTTAATTGAGTAAGGCAGCTAAAAATCTTTTTTCGTGGTTGAATAAAAAAATTCAATAGATAAACAAATGATTTTTTTTATAAAAAAAGTAGACGTAGAACCCTTCGTGGTTCTGTGTTTTTCTCGCTGTCAGTCTACCCATTAACTAGTCTTTTAGAAATCAATCAAATATATACAATTTATTGTTTATTTGTGACTTGCTTCAAGATGAACGTGCTTGATTTTTAGTTAAAATTGATGATTTATGAAGTTAATCTGCTGGGGAACAAGTATAGTTACCCAAAGGTAGCGTGAAATGTTGGCCACTAAGTACTGAAGTAGAACTGAATCTGAAAGATATGGACCCTTCGATTCTGGTCTAGTTGATGAAGGAAAAAGTACCTCTTTGTTGACATGATACTCAAAGTTCCAATCCCTTTTAGGCGTGAAACTGCGCGTTTTTGTGAAATATAAAACTTGAACAAAACAGCTTTCATACATTTCCTGGTTTTCTGTTGTTCTCCATTTGTTTTCAAATTGTTATCGAAACGACTTATTTAGATGAATGGTGACTTAGAAGAAAAATATAGATACTCTGCATCTTCAGTCTTAAAATAGCCAGCTAACTTTTGCAAAATAAAACAAAATATGAATCAGGAACACAATTAAGGTCAAAAACATTCATTCACACATGATATACCACTTTTGAAACTGATTTTCTTGATGAGGTAAGCCAAGATTATAAATATAAGAAGGTGACTACGTAATAAGATGAAAGGTTACTTGAACTAGTATCAAGTGATAGACGAAAATGTTATTCAGATTAACGACAATGGTCACGATTCCAAATAAAAGACACGGAGAGTTTTAAAACGGTTGTCGAATAACAGATTTGTAAAGTTGTCAATTTCCTCTTTGTGAAGAGACATTGAATTAAATGCTTCCATAAACTGTAGTTCATAAAATGATTTCTTTCTGGCAGGCATCGTGAATTCTCACAGTTTGCCAGTTTGATTTCTTGTGTCAAATATGTGTAGGGATTTATTTTGCAAAAAGGGCACTAGACCTATTAAACTTGGATTTCTGGGGTATTTTCAACCCGTCTGTGATCCATTCTTTTCTCTGTTATTACTTAACAGCTTCCGAATTTACGTGTAAATCGGTAAGTACAAACCAGGAGACTCACACAGTTTCTCTTAAGAAAGAGAAAAGGTTTACCCCTAGAAAGATCTCCTCAGAACTTGCAATAAAAACAGTTTCAGTTGTGTAAACAAGTTTTCATTCGGCATCTAAATGCTTCTCATCTACACATGGATGCCAACTGATTCATATACGTTTCCAGATAACATTCGTGTATTTGTCACATGAGTCTGGTACAGGCTATTCATTCTGATATAATATTCACTTTTGGTTGCATCTGTGCCACGATTCGTTGACGGCATAGAAATAACGAGAAGTGAGTACTTCACAATCTTTTAGTGTGACAACATAAAAGTGACTTCCGACAAGAACTCAATAAAGTGATACAAGTTGGATGATGGCATGTATTTTAAAATCAAAACTAAAATAATGGGCAATGACTCTATGAAGCCTTTGAATACCTCGTATGAAAAAATATTTCCTATTGATAATCTGAAAACTTGCGTTCAATAGTAAACTTGAATCGGAAATGTAGGCTTCTGATACATATCACACAATTATTGAATTTCTCTATCATCTTCAGTAATTTTTTTGCAATGTAGTATTCACCAAGGTGTGATCATCAGAGGTCCATGGAAATAAACGACAACTAAAATTTCAAAAAACATTGAATTTGGTCTGTTTTTCACGAATGAAGGACTTTGCTAATTCGACAGATTCTAACTTGTACTGCTGAGGTGAAATAGAAGAATGAATGCTAAAAGCCAAATAAAAGGTCCACCAAACAGATATGCTTTTAACGCATTCCAATTAATATCATCAGCATTCACATGCTCAACAGTATAAAATGGGGTATTTTAACATACCCTTTTCCTGCAGCGAATTATATTAAATCTGTTTCACTTCTTAACAAGGTCTAAATACAAACATTTACTGCCTTGAGAGGAAACTCTTTAAGCCTATTATCAAGAATATATTACGAAAAGTATTGTTTTGATTTCATCATTAGCAAATTTAGTGTAATAGTGACTACTGCACCTGTATACATTACTCAGTCTAACAAAGTCATGCAAGTAGAGTGAACCACTAGTTGAGTAATAGAATTTTGTAGACTACAAAGGCTCATATGAAGCATTACTAAACTCTGGGACGCTAAACTTCATCCATTTCTTTGGATAGACATACTTGTGTCATACAGGTATCATAAAAAGGAGGTTTAACCATGCCTAATAAGATTCTGCTCAAGCTACATAGTTTGAGGTCAAGATTAAACACTGAGCACTTAAAATCTATAAATCTGTTATGCTGAAGGATACTTGACGAGACAGGCAAGTCGACTGATAAGTTTTGAAGCTTAGTCGATTGAGATGATTTAGACATGCACTTCGCATGGTGAACCACCACCTGCCTTAGTGTGCCATTCTACAGCAAGTTGGATTACGTTGGAAGAGGGCTCAGGGTTGACAGGTCAAGATCTGACACCAACCAATGAAGTTCCTAGCTGTTGGTGTGGGCCGTGTGGGAAATACAGACGGCCTGGCTGGGGTCCTTGAGACGAAAGGAATTAGTGGTTGGGGCTCTTAGGGATATGGCTGAAAATCAGTCTCAGTGACTCAGATGTATTCACTCCTTAGCATCTTTTAATGCTTGAATATTCACACTAACCTTTATCTCTAGATTGTTTATTCTCTCACACTATTTTATCTTCTTTGGGATCACTTTTTCTATCCACCTGTCCTTTGTGTACTACTGTAAAGTGTGGCAAGTTGGGTAGATGCACCTGTGTACGAGGTTCTACTTTGGTTTTGTGAGTCAGTCATTCCTTTAGAACGAAAGCTAGACTTCTTTATTAGTAAATTTTGATTTACTGTCTATTCCTACTTATTAAACCTATGCGGTTTATAAAGTGTGTTTTCAATGAATTTTTCTGATTATTTTGACACTGATTGTTTCGTTCTAGAAACTAAGTGTGAGCAACGATAAAGTTGAAGATGAAAGTTTGAAAGTTACAAGAGAAAATACTGGTTCAGCGCGACTTACTGAGCGTCCTACAACAGCCGAAATTTCTTCCAGTGGCAAGAATTCAAGAAATTCAGAACACAGTGATAGCAGTAAAAGAGAGAGGGGCACTGAAAACAAACGAAAATCAGGCAGGTCACGAACAGTCAATATTTCGTATATATATATATATTTAGATATTTTTTGAGCTTTGAATTTGCAGTCTATCATTTCTTTGAATTTAGTTATTCACTTCGTTAAATACTACTGAAAAGGAAAAGACTTTAATAAGTACATGCACTACTTAAAACTACAAATTTTTTCCATTATGTTCAGCGGGAAACCTGAATAACTTCAGATTGCATGTGCTTAATTTATCACTCTGAATATTCTAAAAAGTAGCTTACTTAAGTGGGAAGTGGCACGAAGTTAAGTTTTTACATATATTTGCATCGTTAACTAAGCTCTTCCATATATGAATTTGGTTTCGGCTGCAGAGATCCTCAATTTCCTGCCAAATTTCTGGTTGAAGGTTGCTAACTGTTCTTATAGTAAAATGAATATGACATGAAGTTACATGAAGAAAAGAATCACTCCTATTTCCAACCAAGCGATTAGTTTCCTTCCCTCTAAATACAGAATTGATGTTGTCTTCTAGTTTCGAAAAAGAAATCTTGTATCATGTTTGTTTTTTACTACTAGACCTCCAACACAGATACAATTTTCATTCCATCGTTCATGGGTCCTGACAACTGAAAAATATCAGATCAAGATGTAAACTTCTTTTGACCCACATTAAATGACCGTTCACTAATTTTAATAGACCCTTTGAAATCATACTTAGGAACTGATTTTGTATAAAAGGTAGTGAAAACAGAGATAAACTGAAAAACCTTAGTGACACACTTCAACACGTGCCTCATTGTTTAATTAGTGGTCACTGTTCTGAGTTCCTGATTATTAACTTGTAGTTAGGAAGGAGCTTTGAATATTCTTCTGACCTATACAGCCTGAAATACTGGAAGCGTTCATACTTTCTTCACGTTTGCGGTAGAGCTAAATCAGTAGATTTTATCTGTCCTCCTAACACTTAACAGACCAATTCATAGCACTTGGGAGTTCAATGCAGGAAATAGCGTGTACGTATGTCAAAATTTCGAGAACCCAGTTTTATAAGACGTAGTTTTATAAATCAGATCATGTGGTAAACAAAATGATGATATGATTCTAAATTCCTACAGAAACTGATCTTCAGCTGCTCTTAGTTGGGAGTTATTTTAATATGTTATTAGAAGCAGTAACTAAAAAAAATCCAGTTGCCTTTCATTTTTTGGACATTAAGATTGACGAAAACATTTTTATGAGTAAGAAATCCTCCATATAGTAATTATAATCGTGAAGTTAACTCAGTGGCATCAGTGACATGCTTCCAGATGGATATCCCCAAGTTTCAATGGGAAGCTATGACTTTTAGCCTCAGCCAATTAGAAGCGAAACGGATGCTAACAGAAGACCTTGGTGGATAGTCGTGCTATATCACGAAGCGACAGAAGTAGGAAACTGTAGGCTGCTGAGCTTCAATCCAGTGGCTGGCTGGTTAGCACGTTAGCCGTAAAACCTGAGGTTCGTGAGCTTTATCCCTAGCCGGGATCGTGGGTGCGTACTCCTGAGGAGTCTCACAGTGGGAAAAAACAGCTGTTAAATGCTCCCAGGTTTTCACTGGTTCTCTAAATGATATTAATCCATGATTAAATAATGGTAACCGCTTTACTTCTCAAACGATATGTTGGATACAGTATAGAATTCTCAGTATGTAATATTTTGAGAAATTCACTCGCGGTACAATATTTTTATGCGAAAAATAATAATGGAGCCCGTAAATTGTCATTGGTAACACCCTAAATGTCAAAAATGTGAAAGAGTCACCCGATACTAAGTGCTAGCATCTGGTATAGACTAGTGAATGTTTTGAAAAACGCACTGGCGAACGCAAGTTTGGTGACAGTTTATTCAGCCAGTTCAAAAATCTGCTATTCGAGCTAAGTGCTTTAGGAATGGTAAAATTCCAATTTTTCGTAACTCAGAGTGTTCATTCTTACTTTTCAAGAATCCACCTGAGAATATTAGAAGCCGACAAGTTTACAGACACATGATAATTTTTGTTTTGCTGTCTCAAGTCTAGTTTTAGTCCTTATGTTTTATCAATTTCATTACAACGGTTTAGATGGAAGCAGATCATCATCTACTGGACAAAACTCGCATCACACTGACAATAAGGAAAGAAGAATGAATTCAAGCGATCGCAATAAACAATCTGAATCTACTAATAAGGTGAAGTCAAGAAGTCGTTCTGGTAGTGAAAAGAGGCAGCCAAAGAAGACAAAATTAAAGTCGCTTGCCTCACCACAATTAGTTAAACCTCAAAATGAAGAGTCAACTCCTCAACCAAAATTGCCACAACCTGGGGATGAAAACTATCAGTTTGTTGACGTAATGATAAAGCAAGTTAGTTTTATGGATAAAAATCCTATCTGTTCATCATAAGGTATCTGCTTTGTGTACTGAAAGTATCTTTTTCAAAACACAAACGGTAATATATGTCACCCAACATATTCGATAGCGATACAGAAGTGAAGTAACCTTTCACTTCGTTGTATTTCTAATCTTTTTGTTGACCGTTTCTGAAGGACTACTTCAGAATGCAGGGGAGGGGATTATTTTCCTTCTTATATTAGGACTGAAATACAACGTATTTCTGATTTGCTTCTGCACTGAATTTGAGGCCCCAATGTAATATTATGGGATACCAAACTTAAAAAGGACGAAATGAGATAGTCACAAGCATAAACCGCGCGTCCTGGATTCCTCTGCTAGCCACAACCAACCAAATTACCATAATTAACCGTTTCATTTGAATAATATATCAAAAAGGAGTGAAAATCCAACCAGATAGGTCGCTTTTGAGCATTCGTAATTTTAAGGATTTAATTTGTCATAAACTCCAAGCATTCATGAAATAAATGAATGCTAAGCGGCACTTTCAATTGTAGTTTGGAAATTTCCAGCATTACACAAGCTGGTCCACGTTATTCTGAATTATGAAGTGAAGTTGGTCAAGACACCAATTCAGATCTTCCACTTTCAGTCTTTATCCTTGTTAATGGATATCCATTTATCAGTCTCAAGTTAGATTCTTCTTCTTGATACAAAAAGAAAGAATGGCTATTTCGCCTTCAAACTCCTCCTCATAGGTAAATTTAGTCTGTTAATATACTGTACTAAACCTACTAAATATCTTCACCCTGTCCATTTTTTTCCATAGGATAGACCTATTGTCTATATGTCAGGGGTAAAGCGGAAATTCTTCTATAGTCTGGTCAAGTTAGAAAAATGTCCACTGATTTAAGATCAAGTTGCTAGCCCATAGTCATTTCATCCACCTTCCTTTAAAGTTGACCGGTCAATTTACTATTTGAGAAGTAACCTCTTAAGGATAACTACCGGAATTGTGTTATTCAGAGACTTTTTTCATTTATTCACATGTCTTTGACAACCCCTGCAAGAGTAGCAATAATGAATGGAAATGTTACGTACCTTTCTACACTTTAATCCATTTTGCTTCACTTATTATTCTCACTTTTTCACTAGTCTAGTACATTATCATATCAAACCATCAACATACCTAAATATTCAGCATTCAACATAGTTTTAGTCTAACGTCGATTCACAAACAAACCACAGGTGTAAATATCCTCTCCAACAGGTTTATAAAACACTTATTCACAAATTACATTTATGAAGTGTTGCTTCACGACTCTTCTGGGCTTTTGCTTGATCTAAAGGCAGGGAGTGAAATATTGAGCTCGTTGGCCACTTAACTTACGTGGGCAATTGGATGAGCTTTGGTGGGTCAGTGATCGACGAAATCTCAACACGGACAGAAAGGGCTGTATGTTGTAGTAACACCAAGTCAGTAATTTGGAATTCAGGTGGAGTTTCAGTGAGAAAATTTAAGTTGGTTAATGAGGTTGTGGACCTTCATCGACTGAGGTGGCTTAAACATGCATTAAGCATGACTAGTCACTGTCTGCCTCGCTGCAGTGTTAGTTGAAGTAGGTTCAGGCTGAAGAATTTAGGAGTGGCCAGACAAAAGCATGAATTCCCTGACTGTTGGTCTGAGCTTTGTAGGGAAAAGCAGACTTCCCGGCTATGGTTCACCTGACAGCAGAAACCATTGGTTAAAGACTCTAGGTGGCATGGCTGATAATCGATCTCAGTGGGGCTGTTGTATCTATACATTATCTCCATCTTGATTGTCGTAGTGAATTCAGTGCTTTGTTAGTCCTCCTTGTTATCTTGTCGTGACTTTCTGCCACTTTTGACTGCTTTCTTCTTTATTTCTCCGTGTTTCATATTCGTGCTTCCTCACTTGATGTGCTGATATGACGTATGGCAAATTGTGCCATTACTTGTTAACGCCTGGTCCTATGTTGAGCATATCTGTTTTCACTCCGACAATTTGATAACACTACACAGAAGACTGACAGCTACTTTCTTGTCTTTTTTTCTCCATCTGTGTATCCTCTTACGAAGCATATCTCAATCAGCTTCATTTAGTTCCTTAGAAATTCCCATTATAATTTAAAAGACAGTTTGATGAACAAAGAGTATCTTTTCCGATAACTTTTTCCTTAGGTTCTGAAGTTGCATATCCATGTTGTTCAATCAGAAAGTAAATACATTGTTAACAAAGAGAATTTATGTTACGGTTAATTGTTTATAACAATTCAAAATCATCAATAATGTAGGTGATAAAATGATATTTGGTGGTCAGAATCAATTATACCAGAGAGTTGCTGACTCCAAAGCTGATCAAAATAGTAATGGCTGCAAGTAATTCCTTTGCATACATAATTCAGACTGTTTAAACTAAATGGTTAGAGCTTCTGAATTAAAACTATTACTTCCTTTATAAACCTAGATAAAACAATACGACGTAGATTGTCTGAACCGTGTAATGTGTTTGAGCAATACATTTTGAGAAATCTGATCACAAATGTATTTGGCATGGGTATTTATATTAAAACTACAGAGATAAGTGGTGAGAATATGAAAAGATGCATAAGCTCTCATCAGGCTCTGCTGTAGTATACATATATGAGATATTAAACCAGTCATAGTGGATTCTTTAGGCTGTGGTAACAAGGAAACAAAGCATGCAAACAGTAGATATCTAGATAATAGTAAGAAGAAGAAGAAGAAGAAGAAGAATAGTGGGAACAGCACGTGGGTCAGAACTTAGAAAAACTAAAGTTGCGTAATACTAGAGGATGGTATATGTAGATAATCAAAGTCTCAGTATATAAACATGTTTGCGAAAGTGTTGAAGAAAGAGAAGAGGATGAAAATTGAATTTATCTTTAAAGTCATTTATTAAGTTTTCTCTGGCCTAGGTAGAAACAAGGGTTGCACAAACTTTTTCTGTATACAAACATTAGGGTTGTTTTCTCTAATTTCCATGGCCTCAGTCATATGTAATAAGCGGGTGCGAATTCCAGTCGAAAGATTTTCTGAAATGCGATAGATGATTTTGAACGCTTTGGTCTTATCTTTTACATGACCACTATCGACCAAATGTGACAGAATTGAACTTCACTTGACGTCACCTGCCCCTTTGCCAACCATGACGGCAGGTACTCATCAACATCTTTGTTAAGCTGCCGAGTTGTATGCCCAGTATAACTTAATTCAAAGGAGTAGCTGAATTGACAAATGCCCATAGAAGTGGTGGGACTGGGTAGTTTGTCTTTTGTCTGAGCAGCAATTGTCGGCCGGCTAGATAGTGATAAGTAAAGGTTAGCAGAATAGAAAGTTCTTCGGATGGCTGCAGACATGAAAGGATGTCAAGCAGGAGGGTTAAATTGAAGGCCAAATAGGAATGAAAATCATAACAGCGAAAATAATAGTTCATCTAACTTAGTTTCAGAGTTAAATTTACCAAGAGGGATTTAATGTAATAACAAACTGTTTAGAACGCACAAAAGTAGTTTAGACTTCTGAATAGCTAAGACCTCAAAAAATTCAAGGATCCGTCCACAATACAAGGTAAGTTTTTCTTGGACATATTAATTAGTCGATAGCGGGATGGATCTATAAAACCATTTGTCTGCAGAAAACCTACATGGACAGGGGAATATTTGAAATATCACAGCTTTTGTCCAGTTCAGTACAAGCGACCGTTAGTTAGGTGCTTATTCAATAGAATTCAACGAACTTGCACAGACGATACTTTGGAAGACGCGACAAGAAGATTGACTGAAATATTGTTAGAAAATAACTATCCATAAAAATTTATTAGCCAGCACAAAGGAGCCAGAGTGCTGAAATCTGCTGCTCACATTGTCCCAAAAAAAGATGTTTTCATCAGTCTCCTGCACAGAGGTGACTCTCATGGTGCAGTCTATAAGCAGAGGCTTAAGGCTGCTGTTAGAAGGTCTTACTACGCAGCTAGGGTCCGATTAATAGAAACCATCATATTTGAACAATCTCCCAAACCCTTAAATCGTATGAACGATTGTCACATCCTATCATATCTACCACTCCATATGTACAGTTTATTATTTTTTATTTGTCCATTGGGTTCCTAATGAAATATAGGGTTTCAGTAGCACGTCCTCTACAAAATCTGTTCTCTGAAATCTTTTGAACCTGGCTCCACGACAGTCCACAACCTCTCATTTCCTCCTCGCACCATCTCCTCCATGTCACCCTCACCACGGACACCCAACTCGTCGCTTCCCATTTGGGTTCCACTCGACCGCCTGGCCTGACGTGTGATGTCCACAGTTGGCCTTCTCAGTGTATGCCCAATCCATCTCCACTTCCTTCCACTGCATGTTTGTTCAGTGATAGCTCCTTGGTTGCTTCATCATCAGCCAGAGTTCCTTGTTGCTTATTCTTATTGCTCTGGCCATCTGAGCTTCAGTAACGAGACAGCTTAGGCAGTTGTTGATGAATGTCTGTAGTTTATTGGAAATCCCTTTCGTAACGCGCCAAGTCTCTGAACCATACAGAAGCACTAACTTGACTGAAGTTGGTGTTGAAAATCCGGATCTTGTTCACGCTTTATGCTGAGTGCAGTGCAGTAGATCTCCACACTGGTTTCAGACTAATGAAGGCCTGTCTTGCTTTTCCGATCCTGACTTTGACATTCTCGTCTGTGCCTGTGCTGCGTGTAGTTGAAACAGTGCTTCCCAGATAGGTGAAGGAGGCTACTTCCTTTAAGTTTCTCTCGTTGATGGTGACTGGAGCTTGTTGTTGCTGTTGTTGTTCATTGGGTATCTCCATCACTTCTGTCTTCTGGTAGATTATAGTAGGTTATTTTTGACTATATCATCCTAATGATTATGTAAGTGCCTGATGTATTATGTTATTGTTTTTGCGTTTGTCTTTATTACCCGAAAGACCGGTTAATTTTTTGAAAATTATATTTTAGCTCTAGTGATAACTGACAAAGCGTCTTGCTTAAATAATGCCTATTCTAACTTTGCTCTTTTTCTTTAGGAGTCAGCGCAGATATTACTGAAATTGTGGGATAGCACGAAAACTGTTTACCACCAAAATTTAAAACTGATTTTTCGCCATATTCGTCTTCTTAACTCAGATATCATACCACGTATGTACAATATAAAACAACAGTTTTATAACTATTTGTACAGGCCCGATTCAAAACAACATTTTGTCAGTCAATTTATCATTGTGAGTTGAGTTTTTACACAAATTACCGCTCAGTTGCACATATTTCTACATCTGGTCTTGGTTTTCATGTCAGTCAGATAGAGAATGTCAAACATTCAGTTTGAGTTCCGGCTAAAGTTACTTAAGATGTCTAAGACTCCCCTTAGTGCATAGGTTTTTTTAATTTTCATTGGTACTGAGTGAAGGGTGAGAAACTGATTCAAACTATCCTTTAGATAAAATGCGATGGAATATTCATGGAAAATGATATATCATCTATTGTTTACACAAAAAACCTATTGCTAACCCTGTTTACTCCATCAAGAAAGGTAAAACCCTCAGTATAAGTGGCTCAGACAATGCCGAATCAAGAGATTTCAAAAACTTTACTAAAATTCTCCTAATGCATAGATATGCGAAACAGCCGATTTGCAAACAGCCACTATAGAATCTCAATGCATATTTAGCAATCTGAATTCATAGCAGTAAGTTTTACAACACATCAACGCAACCAAAGTAGATGACAATTTCATTTTAGTCTGTTTATTAGATGCATCACAAGTGGAACAGTATTATTTACTGAACAAAACTTCAAAGATAATTTGTTATCCTCATCTGATTTGAATGTGGACAATAACTGATGTACTAAACGTGATCTAGTGAAAAATATTGTTTCACTGCACGAAACATCTAATAAACAGACTAAAATGGAATTACAATCCGCTACAAGGCCCACGTTTTACTCCTGCTTTATAGCTTCTTCAGTGACCATAGATGACATAGCCGCGTTAGGTGAAAGTCCTGGGAAAATGTAAAGCCTTCTGGAAAACTTCATCGGAGTGTTAACTCAGTACTGGTCTGCTTTTGTCCCTGGTCTGAAAATAGGGAATGAAATATTTGGGCACGTTAACCACTTCATTTACGTGGGAAGATGGATTAGCTCCGTGGGTCAGTGATCGATGAAAGCTCCCCATAGAATTGGCTTTCTCTAACTTACACAATTTATGGCACCACCGCGATATCCAGTTGTCTGTTAAGGGTCGACTGTACTGTGCTGCAGTTCCCCCTGATCTACTACGTTGCTGTGAAAAATGGTCATTACGGTTAGAGGAAATGATAAGGCTTCAGGTGTCTGACTACCATAGCCTTCTTACCATAGGCCATGTGCCGTGGTGCCATCATATCAATCATAAAGAAATCGGGTAAAGAGTTTTAAGTAAAGAGGTAAGTGTGAGTGTGGACTTTCACGAACTAACCTGATTGGATTGTGTTGTTCTGTGTATGCCTAATCACCGTGTTAGCCGAAGTAGATCTGTTCTGAAAAAACTGAGACGCAGTCACTGTTAGGCGTAATGTTAGACCATGTTAATCTGAGCCTCAGAGGGAAGTGTATACTCTGAAGTGATATTCGTCGTCAAAATGCGAATAAGCGGTTCATACAATAGATAATAAGGTTGGTAACCCGTTCCACTGGTACAGATTCATCCGCGCATTATCTTAAACTTAATCATCATTTCGGATTTATTTTCGTTTTAACCCTCCTTGTTTTCTCTTTTAGACTTTATACTTCTGATTGGTTTGTTTTTCACTTATCTTATAACCACCTATGTAGCGCTAGTTCATGAAGTCTCTAACAATTGGTTTGATCAGTAGAATAAATATAGACAGCTTTTCTTTGGTTCTCGAGATCATAGGAATCAATGTTTGCAGACCCTTGCTGAGATGACTGAAATCAGCCTTAACGGTGCAGATGTATTCACTCTTCGACGTCTAAAGTTTGAGCATATTCACTAATCTCTTGTACACCTTTGGCTTATTTAATTTCCTAATTTTTCTACCCTCTTGTTCTCTGCATCTTACTGTGAATTATGACGAATTGAACCAATGCACTTGTGCATTAGGTTCCAAAGGGAATTCCTCTGTCTCTCTATCTGCTATTTTGATGTAGTGATATGAGGTGTGGCAACTTGGATCACAAGCCAGTGAATCCAGGTCTCACGTTGATGCCGACTAACTGACTCCATTGCCATATTTTTTGCTGATTTTAACTAAAGAAAGCAGAATACGTCTTCATAATACCTGATAATGGTCGGAACAGTGAATTTTATGACATCTTTTTTTATAGGGAAAATCAGATCCATATGTTTTTATCCAAAAATTTATCTCTTTTATCTTAATATTTTAAACTGTAGCATGTTTCTTGGGCGAAATTCTTTCGACCTACCCTTTTCAGTCTTTCTGCATCTTTGACTGACTCTCTTTTTATCATCAGAGAGACCTAGATTTTCTAAGAGATAAGCTGCCTTGCAAAAATATTTCTGGATTCTCTAGTATTATCAAACTTACTGGCCTCCACTTTTCCGTCACTAAGGTTATTGGTCCGAATATCCTTATAAAAGTACGACAGTGATTTTTGTCTACTGTAAGAAAAATAAGTAGCCAAACTATTTTACTGAAAATTGTCTGAGGGTTGCACGTGTAAACCGACTGCATCTGCTAAGATTGTCATTTATACCATAGTTTTCATTTGAATTTGCAACAGACATTTAATTCACTCTTGATGGAAATGCGAGCAGACAAAGAAACTAAAGCTGACTTGCATTGTCGGACAGATGATTTACGTGACACACTCTATGAAATCATAGACGAATCAAAACAAGCAAATGAAAACCGTTTGGAGATTTTACTTGATGTACCTGGTTGGTTTACCCATAAACAAAGATTAATGATCAATTTATATCTCTCCCTATTCCAAGTCGAATTAGCTCAATTCCAAGAGCATGCACAACTGATAAAAGATTATTACAAGTAAGCTTGTTGATAAAATAGTATTCAAGTAGTCTTCGTTAAAATTAAGCGATATAAATGTCTCTCAATGTTTTATGTGTTGTTGGGTCACAACTTTAAATGTGTCTACAAATGTATGGAAAATCAAAATCCATTACCAACTCTTGCGAATGCTTGCTGACTGATACTCACCTCTGAACTGCAGTAATGATAACACATTACCTTTCTCCGGCAGCAACTGGTATTTGTTTCACAAATTAACCCCAGTTGATCTATAGAAACCGAAGTAAACAAGAGTTAAATGGATATCCTTTACCATTCTAAATTCAAGGACATTATGGTAGTATACCATACCATTTACCCAGTAATCAATTTATTCAACCCTATCGGGTCAAGTTTAGATTCTGAGGTCTATAAAATTCTTTTTTAGGTATTTTCAACAGTTTTTCATGCAATGTTTGTTGAAACTTTCCCACCATACCAAACACTATGGTTTCAGTAAATGCATGCTTTACGTAATTTATAGTCTGATTTTACAACTGCATCAAGATACCATTTAATACAAACGTTTTCTACCATCACTGTGAACGGAACTTGAGTTCAGGGATATGAAACTCTTCTTGACATATTCGATACTTCTCATTCATGAATTAGGCTTATGAATGAAGCAGTAAAAGGGATTTCTCTCATTTCTTCATATTTTACCATCAAAAGAATAGATTTATGTGTTGAATATACTGTTTTCCGGGGAAATCACCAACATAAAGTCCCTTTCATCACAGAGTTTCACCGCTTATCGTTTCTTACAAACCAGTTCTAGTCATGAAGTAATTAACAAAAAGCAATATTGGTTATTTATTCTTCTTCACTGTAAAAGAAACCCGATCCATACTTTAATGTTTTCAACCATGGGTGCTTGTGCAACTGATATTTTGATCGAAGAAATAGCAACAATCGAAATTTCTGTGTACGAAAATAATTATCCTGAGACGTTTACAAAGATTGTTACAATAAAAGCAGCTCAAATGAAGTGTCCAGAGAGTTTGACAAGGAAAGGGTTGTATATAACTCATACAATAGTCATGGCTCTTAGATAGTTTGTCTCTTACATAATTCTGTATGAATACTGATTTAAGATATCTGCTGTCTCATTTCAAGTAAATCTCTTTTCCTTGTCAGAAGTACCAACCACACATCATATATAAATTACTTCAGCATGTCATTTAGAGTCCGATTTGTTTTTTGACCTCTATCTCTTGATTAATTACCTTTTCGAGTATTCTTGAAAAGTATGATTATTTCAGTATGTTCAAACACGCTAACACCTTTTTAAGTCGACTGAACAAAACTATTTTTGTACACTTGGATCAAATACATATGTGAAAAAATAAATTTTAATAGATGTAGATTTAGGTAGTCACTTGTTCATAGTATAAACCTTAATCACATTGATTGTACATTTCTCAAAAGTGATTACTCGTGAGTGTAAAAGCCACCCTAGTAACTGCTGAAATAACCAATCAGTTTTAGGTACTTCGATTGTGAAGGTAATTTTTCATAAAATATAAAAAAGTGTAACTGGTTGTTTCAACAATTGCGAGGGTAGCCCTTCAAGTTACTTCGCATAACATGAGAGTGATTCATGTTGACGACAACTTCGTTCAGCATTAAAGCATCTGCCACAAAAATCCCATTATTTATCCATCTCTTCTTAAAAACTCAGTTATCATATCTTGCTTCTGCCAACATATCAACAATACAGGCCTAACTTTAGTTGCTAATTTATTATCTGACTAACAAAATAACAGATTTCCTAACTAACCTTGTAACCTCACCCGGATATGTGCACTTGAGTGCCAGTCAATTCTAATGTGTAAAGCCTAATGATACTAATTAGTTATTCAAAGATTGATAGATATAATAAAGTTCATACTTGCCGCTTAGTGATGAATATGCGAGAAGCTTCAAACTTCAGTTGCGTATACCAAGGCAACTTTTACAGAGACTCTCCTAACAAATACTCTACACCTCTATCTTTGTACATTGTTCATTTATTGGTGATGATAAGCCGTGACTTATGGAGTCAACCAGTCGGCAGCGAAGAGAATGTTAACTGAAGACCTTGATGAGTAGTCACGCTAGTTCGCAAATTGATAGGAATGGGAAACTGTAGACCTTTGAGTTCCAACCCAGTGGTTGGATGGTTAGCGTGTTCACCCTGAAGTTTGAAGGTCCAGAGTTAGATCCCTGACGCGGTCACTGGTACGCAATCCTGAGGAATGTCATACTGGGATGAAACAGCTGTCCAGTTCTCCCACTTCTCCAAAGGACACCCTAACAACTGCCTAAATAGGTGATCAGGTTTTTCTACTTGAAGAAAAACCACATTTCTAGCCTAAATAAAGGAATTTGGTTGTTTCAGCCGTTGCTTGGATGTAAACAAAGTAAAAATTTCCATTTTGTTGCATGCCCTCTTCATATGCGTTAACAGCTCTTACAAATATTCAAAACGCCTTTAATGCACCAGATCTATGTTTATCCCCTAGCTATCAAAGGGTTATTTCAGCAAACCTAGTCTCGTATTATGCTCATTAAACATTTGAATTCACTTTGGTCGGAAATAATATGCATCCTACAATGGGAAAATTAAACTATGCTTTGTAATTTACAGCACTCAAAGATTATGACCCGTTTGCTGTACAAGAAATTTGCATAAAATATGATTTTGCATAAATCACTAACCAAGATAACCTGATGGTTAAGTATATGACACACTTCAGTATATACCAGATGTGAATAACTTTTGTCGATTTTGAGGTTTGTGGGAATTTATTTATCAAATTCAGGCTGGTATTCATCATGAACTGACATCAGCCGGAGAGCCATTAGAAAAGTGGGAGTACTGGACAGCGGTTTTGTTCCTGAATGGGACTCCTCAGCAGTGGGCACCCGTCACGGCCGGACTCTGTACCTTCAAGTTCCACAGCCAGTGCATTACCATTAAACCAGTGGGGCGGAGCTCAATGGTCTACACTTTCCAACTTCTGTCAGTTTATGATACAACGTAACCTCCATTCAATGCCATTTCTGAGTAACTGTCCTCATGCTCTACTTGGTTCACCCCGTAATTCTTCTCCAACTGATGAGTACCAACCTAGGATAAATAAATAAATCCCCACAAATCTCTAAACTGAATTAGTCTAGTGCTCATTAGTGACTTGACTAGCTTCGAGAGGTGATTCCCGAACTTCCAATGAGAAATCATGACCTGTGCGCACAACATATTTTGTGTTAGACATTGGCAGTCTGTAATATATGATTGATTACAGTTAGCTGCATACAATAATCTAAGAGGGTATTGTTTTTACTCAGTATTTTCTTTCAGTCGAATTTGCAGATGTGTCAGTTAAAAATCGTTTGTTAATCATTTTGAGTTTCGAACGAACATAATAAATTGGACAGAATAAAAAAGCACACTGATTTGTCTTAAACACTGCTTTTATAATAATGATAGCTTTATTCCAAACAACGTTTGAAACAATCCGGAATTGTCAGCATGCATAATTGCCAAAAAGCATGTACTCCTTTACAACATGCTTTAAATGCCTTGGAAAGAATTTCACTAAGTTCTAATAAAACGTCGTAGGCTATAGGGTCAACCAAGTCTAACTTGAAAGTAGTTACTCAACGACGACATTGGATGTAGGTCGCGCTATATCGTGAACTGACAGAAATGGGAAATATGGACTGCTGAATTCCGACCTTGTGGCTCAATGGCAACGCGCTGGTTGCGAAACCTGTAGATCCTGGGTTCGATCCGTGTCGAAGTCGTGCTTGCTCACTTCTGATGAACCCCACACTAGGGTTAAAAAGCAGTCCAGTGCTCCCAGATTTTCAATGTTTCCCCAATTTTTATCACTTCACAATGAATGTCAACCTGAAATCACTTTTGTCAAGACCAAACAATGCCTCAGTGACACAATGTTACATATTAATGGCTAGTCAATGGATTACATGAATTCCACATTTGTATGGAAAGAAAATTAAAGAATATTATTGTTAAACCCTTATTACGTGCTATGAAAGATAAGGGTTTGGAGAGTAAATAAAAATTGAAGGTAACTTACAGATCTATCGTCGCTTGGTTATTAGCTATAGATCTTACTAGAGACAAAGTACATAAACACCAAGTTTAACAAATCCCTTTTATCAATTTGACTACGCGAGATAGCAGTGATTTAACATACATGTATGATTTAGACTGGGTGGTAAAAGAAGGTGGAGTGAACTTCTGAATCATGGTGGGATTCGAACCAGTGGCCTCTGGGTAACCGGTTCAGAGCTCTACCAATTGAGCTACGAGACCCGACTGCTGACCAGACCTTAATTTTACTTCAGTCACCAAGGTTTTTGCCCAGCTTCCGTGTGAACTCGTGATGCAGCATAAGCAGTACAGGTCTGCCAAACCACGACTGTCTCAGATAGCAAAACTGATAATCAATGTGATGCTCCTCCTCTGTAATTCAGCTTGATTTGGATTGGGATGAGAAGTGGTAATTAGGCAGCCAGTGTGTATACGATGAAAGGACAGTAACGGATTATGAAATCACATGGTAGTCAGGCAAATTCTCGGTGAATGAGTTGAAATTAAGGTGTGGTCAGTAGCTGGGTATCGTGACTGGGTTAGTAGAGTGCCCGGGCAAAAACGCGGCGGCAACTGGTTCCAGTCCAGGCCCAACCCAGGTTTTCATTTCACCATCAGTCATCACCCCAGTTTCAAAAATCCCTGTTAGTTACTAAACTTAGTAACTCAAAATTTATCGATTTTTCTATCATGCATATAACTTTTCTTATTATTTGATACTGCGGTCGTTAATAAAGGACAAACTCATTTATAAAACACAAGCGACTAGATTCCTCATTTCATGAACAGTGCGTCGAATGTAGACGGATTGTATTCTGAAAAGTTACGGTTTAAGGTTATAGCTCATACATTCCTGAACTAATTAACTGATTGGGCTGGATAAAACTGCTTAATATAAGATGATGATTGAGTTTTTAAGAAATAGTTAACCAAACTACACTGCTGAGAAATATATGTTTATATAAGTTTCATATTTGATGCATATATAATGATTTTCTCCTACATTTATACATGTTACTTCTAGTGCGATGGAGGCTAAACCTCAAACAGTTGAAGGTGAACCGATTCAAGTTTTGTCTGGAACAGTTGATGCAAGTCGCATAGAGTACACAAGAATACCGCTTCTGAAGGTTAGTTTTTTGTCACTGAATACAAGGAGAAAAGGAAAAGGATGTTAGAAGGCGGAAGAAATGTAGAAATAAAACCGTAGGATGTTTATTACTCGCCACAAGAAAAGCACGTTTGTCTTCGGTAGTAAGACAGAATTTCAGCCCAAACAAAATTTCTATTTTTACTTTCCCGCTGAGTAAGAGACATTATTCAGCGACTTCTGTTCCATGAACAGCTAAGAATATATATATATATATATATATATATATATATATATATATATATATATATATATATATAATCCCACGTGACAAATGTTTATTGCTTCTAAAGTTCCGTAAGTTACATCTGAGCAGATTTCGTATGCATATGAAACACCTACAGATTGTGTAATAATGTGAACCGGCATTTAAGTAATTAGATGCATCAAACTTTCCGAAGGTCAATATGTTTTTGAATCTATACACTTTGTCCCACTGACAATTTAATTGTTTTTAGCCATTTTCGCAACATATATTACAACAAAAATACCTCAGTTTTAGTTTTGTCTAATTAAAAACTCTCCATTTCTTGCTTGTCACTACAACTATGATTATTATATGATGAAAGCTAGAAAAGAGATAAAATGAGAGCTTTCTTAGGTATAGTGTACACGGAATTGGTTTGCAATTTATTGATACCAACACACAACTTATCAAATGAACTATGAAGAATACTCCAAAAGTGATGCTGATGATCCCCATAGATCTCGAATCGACAAAAGTGGGAAACTATAAACCACCTGATTTCCACCCACCGACTCAGTGATTGTTTGCTCTGTGCCAAATGCGATGGCCATAGATTTCGCCTTTACAAATCCATGAATGTATACCACCGAGAAATCTTGAATTAGGATGAAACAGCTATTTGATACATCAAGGTTTTCAGTGCTTCTCCAAAATATGTCAATCCATGATGAAAACTGTTATGAAACTGATTAGTTCTCACAAAGCATCAGTTAAGGCTAGCATCTCTTAAAAAGTACCAAACGTTGAAAGTTTCAGCTTTGAATAAATTACTGCACAAAGGGAAACCATACATTGATTTTAAAACGCTGTTCTTAGTAATCCAATATTCGCCAAGCTATTAATAAAAATTTTATACTGCTGCACTACATAACATTGGGAAATAGAGTCTACCTAGCCTGTAAACTCAATGTTTGTTAACCTGTGCATATAGCGCTAGATTAAATTATCAGAAGCCCAATCTATTTTGGAACTATTTTCAGGAAGAAATTAAGGACTGATCTCATTAAGTGTGCTGAAAATGATCAGCACTATGTATCACCGTGTATTAGTAAAGTGAAAGGGAATAAATGTATGCACATTAGAGTGAAGCCTGAGGAGGTCTAATTGAAAAAGATAATGTTCGCTTACATTTCTTGTTATAAATTTCTAGTACTCCTTGCTTACTAGTGGAATCCGTCTTAGAATCAGTCACTTCTTCAAAACCACTAGTCTAAAATCCACATACTTCTAACCGATAGGTAACTATAAATGTTAATTTAGGCCAAACCTTAACATTAAATCATAAATTTCAGAGTTACCAGAGTTGAATGAGTGAACAAAAGCCATCAGTGAATATACTGACTAATTATTACTCATAGACATCGTTAATTTATTAGTGATAAAAGTCAACGAGTTGATCTTTGTTGAACAACTCCAATGGAAACTTTGTGTCTTCAGAGCTTTTAATCCTTAAGAACAGTCCTGAAGCAAGTACGCCTGAAGTGTACGCAAATGAGGTTCAAAGTACTTGATTCCCATACTAGACTAATTTTTTTGCTCACTTAGGATTATAATTCAATTATTCAGAAACAACTTTTCATCACTTCACCTTCAAAATTATTAATTTTCATAATTCATTAATCTCCTTTCTTAGCTTCCTGATGATACTACAGATACTGGTGACATTTCTGATCCTCGAAAAAGTGGATCAACAAGACAGAATTCATCAAGATCCAGTTCGAATAGGGGAAACAAGGCAAAGCCAACAGACTCAGGAAATAATTTCTTATCAAGATATCCAACTCCAATTGACTCAAAGTTAGAAACCTTACCTATGGAATTTCGTAGTCAAATTAATCTACTGAATTATAATTCATCATTACAAGAAGTTTTTGCAGCATTTAGCAAAAGTAGGTGTTTTATATTATTTGGTATTTTTTAAGTATCAGGTAGTTAAACAATTTACTTGGTGTTAAATCTCAAGTTTAAATATCCAACCATCCGTCTTCCTATCTATTCTTTAATTTTTTTCCTCACTTACAGTTTCCTAATATTAAACAACATACAGATAAGCTATATTGAATTGATTAGTCGAAATACTCTAGGTGAACGTGAAGGCATTCAGTAGCAATTCATTCCAAATTCTCTGCTACTTTTCTTTTCTTCTACATATTGGATTATTCACACTAAGGTGCATAACAAAATCACAAACCATTGAGTGAAGTGACTTGGTATTTCGTTTCTAAGGGAATAACAGTCCCACTGTAGTAATGGATGCATCTTGGTGATGAGTGTCAGTAAACTCAAAATACCAACTCAATACTTCTTACCTGCTACACACGCAACTAACTGACAGTTCATCTTCGATACCCTGAATAGTCGGTAATGAAAATCCCAACCTATTGAATCTTTGCATAGAAGGATAAAAATTATCTCATAGTAGATTTCGTTATCTGAAAGTAGTATTAGTCAAAGCAGTGTCCATCTAGAACTTCATCATCTGATGAATATAAATATAAAATAGGTTAAGATAATTAAAGTATCAGGGTTGTAATATAAAAACAACTATCGTTCAACTTGTAGTCGGAGTGCTGTTTGATCAGAAGATCAAATGACATGATAGCTAAAAATGAATATTATAAAACTCTGAAGGCTTTAAAAAATACTTGGTAATCGATCATCGGCTCGTTATATTATACTTATTTATGTATATCTTTCACCAAAAATCTGTAACCCTTCAAATCATTATATCATTTGTCCCTTGGGTTCCTAGTGGAACATAGGGCTTCAGTAACACGTCTCCATTTCACTCTCTTCTCTCCAGTCTTTTCAGCCCGGCTCCATGACTGCCCAGAAGCTTTCATTTCTTCCTCATACGATCTCTTCCATTTCACCCTCAGCTGGGACGCCCAACTCGTCGTTTCCCGTTGAGTTCAACTCGAGGGCCTGGAGCGTGATATCCCAGAATGGTTTTCTCAGCGTATGTCCAGTTCAATTCAACTTTACTTTCTTCTGCATATTTGTTAGGCAATAGGTTCTTGGTTGGCTCGTTGTCAGCCAGACAGCCAGAATTCCTTGTTGCTTATTCTTATTATTCTGGCCGTCTGATTTTCAGTATGGAGTGAGCGTAGGTGACAGCTGTTGATGAATGTCTGTAGTTTGTTGAAAATGCTTTTCGTGACACACCAAGTTTCTGAACCATATAGAAGCACTGACTTGACATTGGTGTTGAAAATCCGGATCGAGTTCACGCTTTATGCTGAGTGCAGAAGATCTCCACACTGATTTCACATCAATGAAGGTAGGCCTGTCTTGCCTTTCCGATCCTGGCTGGCTTTGACATCCTCGTCTGTGCCTGTGCCGCCTGTAGTTGAGACGACTCTGTCTTACCTAGGTAGATGAAACAGACTACTTCCTTTAGATTTCTCCTGTTCATGGTGATTGGAGCTTGTTGTTGCTCATGCTGTTGTTGGTTGGGTATCTTCATCACCTCCGTCTTCTATACATTCACTTGAAGTCCCATCTTCGCTGCCCTGCCCTACCTCTTCTGTCAACTTGTTAGTTTTCGCCTGTAGATCTCCCAGTTTGTGCAACAAGACATTAGACATAAGTCATCATCATCATCGGCGGTGAAGTCCAAATCTTATTCTAAGGTATTTTAATCGGTCCAGCAGGACTATACCCCTCTTCTTGCTCCTCACTGTTTGTTGCATGATCCAGTCCAGTCCAGTCGAGTAGACCACAATCAGAAAAATCATCAGTGATAGTAGGCGGCAACCGTCTCTTACTCCTGTCTTCACTTCAGAGGCGTCACTGAGCTTTCCATTGTGAATCACTTGGCATGTAGCATCCTCATATAGCATATAGCTGTTGAATGAGGTTGATAAAGGTTTTTGGCGTTCCGCAGTGCTGAAGCAGCTGCCTGAAAATTACTTCTCGGTCCACGATGTTGAAGGCATTTTCAAAGTCGTTGAAGTTGAGATTGAGTTAATTTGACTGCCATTCTGTACTCTGTTGCAATTTGATCCGTATATGATTTGTTCTTCTTGCAGCCAGCCATTTCCAGTCGTAATTTTGAATCCAGAGCATTTTTCAGTCTCTCTAGGATGATGCGGCTTAATATTTTGCTTGCTATGGGTGGACAGGAGCATGCTTCCTCTCCAGTTCTTGCAAAGACTGAGTTCGCCCTTCTTTGAAAGTTTGACAAGGTAACCCTTCTTCCAATCTGCAGGTATCTTCCCTTCCTCCTTCCAAACCTTCTGCAGTAGTTGTATGAGCATGTCCGCTACTGATGTCTCTGCATCTGTTATCGGTGCTTTTGTGGGAATTCCATCTGGTCATCCTACTCTTCCGGATTTCACCAACTCTATGCCGTTCAGGACTTCACTTCTGCTTTAGTCGGAGGGCTTGTTTTCACTGATAATTCTCTGGCTGGCTGCTGGTGGTATTTCTGGACGAGTTGTAGGTGGTGGTGGCCGATCCAAGAGTTGTTTAAAGTGGTCAGCCCATCATTTCCTTTGTTTCTCCTCTTTGGTAACTAGTTTTCCCTTACTATCTTTTTTTGGTTCATCTGTGTTTTGTATGTTGTGTTCAGTTCCTTTTTCGTTGTTCATCCCCGCACAGCACTGCACTGGTTCGTCTTCTGTTTCGCCATCTTCCTCTGTCAGCTCCCATGTGTCCGTCGAAATCCATTCCTTGTCCTGTTTTTTCTTCCTTCTAATACGGTCATGCAGGTTTCCTTCCAGGTCTCTTTCAAGGAGTCCCAATGTTCTTCGACGCCGGTTTCCTCAGGGATGTTGATCAATGTCTCCCATCTTGTCCTGGTGATTGACTGACATGAAGATATCCTTTGAAGTTTCGTCCTTTAGTTCAGTTTCTGTTCTGGGTGTTGAACTTGAACTGTGGTCTATCTCCAACTTCTGTGATTTTGGCTTTCAACTTGTTTTGAAGTCAGGTTCCTTGCAGTAGATAGTGAGTGGTGTCAACTACATCTGCTCCTCTTCTTCATCTGATGCTGTGTCCAGTAGGCTGCGTCTCTACTTTCTTCAGATTGAGATGTAGTCGATCTGATTTTTAGTGAAGTGTGTCCATCCAGTGAAATCAAGTCCATGTCGTTGCTTGGTGAATATCCTTGTGTTTGTACACACTGTCTCCAATCACCAAATCGTTGAATGTACAGAATTTTGCAAACAATTCTCCATTCTCATTCATTTCACCGAGTGCCTCTCGACCCATGAACAGATCTATTTCTGTTTTGTCTGCTCCCATTTTGAAATTCATGTCACCCATCAGAATGAGTTTTGATGTCGCCAACCGGGGTGGGGTCTTCTTCAGTATTAATTGCAGTGTTTGTAGAATTCCTCCTTCTTCTCTTCATCTGCATTATCTGTAGGTGCATAGCATAGCACTGTATGATTGTGAATTTCCTTCCTTTTGAGTTGAATCTTGCTGTCATGACCCTGATCCTGCTGGAGGAGATTGGCTGCCACCGCATGAGAGCTTTCGATGCTATTGGGAACATAGTAACAATTCAAACATATAACTACTAAATGGGTAACCGGCTACTATGAGAAGAGATCTCGAAAGACAGTTTGCACATGTTAGAAAGCTAAAATACACACTGTCGTCAAAATTAATGAATTTTAAGCCTGATGCTTCATTCCAATTAATAAGTGTGGCTTACGACCTACACCTACATGAATGCGCACAAGGTTTCTGAATGGATTTTGATTCAGTATTAACTGAACTAAAAAGCATTAGGTTGCAACACATATCAGTAATCTGTGAGATCTCTGGTGTGTCATGTGAGGAAGATTAGGTTTTCCGGTTAAAGTCCCCAATGTATTGAGAACCACTAGTTGTCAACATGAATCAAAGCTTATAACACTGAAATAGATACACCCACCCTTTTTCATCCTTGGAAAATTGAACATTTTGTCAGTCTACAGTTATTATTTATCTATGTATCCCTTTATTTTATTATCATCTTGGTTTTGTTTATTTCTTCTTTCTGCTCCTTTGCTGCAATTTTCTACCGGGACAACTCTGATCTGTCTGTCTAATGCGTTTTTGAAGCTGACAAATCTTGGTTGATACCTTCTTTGACACTTTTTTACTGTTCTTTCTGATATGCAGATTTTCATTTAACTTCATTTGATTATTTTGTATTTTGCAAATATACCAATTAATCTTTTCAGTTTAATTTCCCTTGTTATTGATGAATGTTTTGACGGAGTTTTACATTTTTTAACTGGTAAATCAATAGGAGGAGTTGACTGCTGTTTACCGGATAAATTCCAGTTATCTTTAATGTATACATGAGGTAGTTGGTATAAGATTAAAAAAATTTGAACGATCTCATTTTCCAGTCAACATCTCTCTCTCTCTCTCATACAACAGGTGGATTCGCTTTAACAAATCAGAGTACTTTAACCCAAAAAACCAAAAAGGCACTAAACCATCTGGTCCAGGTAACTAAACCCACCGCTAGAAAAGTCAAACCTATCCAATCAGCAGCAGTCTTCTTCTGGATAAGACCACTCCACCTTCAGATCAATCGCTTCAATTTTTACACAATGTTGTTTAAGTGCAATCCAAATTATTGTGAATCAGGTAAGCCATTTTTACATCAGTCTGCCATTACGTAACATACTTTTGGAAAAAAACTACAATAAAGCATGATTTTTAAAGTGAGTACTCAAAATTTGAAAAGATTTCTGGTATGAACAAATAATGAAAATATTGCAGAAAAGAAAAATCAGTTTTCCAGGGTTTAACTGTAGTCAGTTATCTTCTTTGACATTTTACTACAAGAGATAATTTCAATAAATTTCTACTAACATGCAACAACTATCATAGAAACACGAAAATTCTCCTCGATGGAAAGCTCGGAAGTTTAAAATGTAGTGGAATAATTTGGAACTGGATTTCAGACGCATAAAAGTGGTTTCTATGTTGCTGAGTTTTCTGAATGTTGAATAATTAGCCTACTGGTCATTGTATGTCATTATGCGAAGAATTCATATTAATTTTTAAATTTAAAGCTAACTGGATAGGACTTTGAAGACTTTTATAACCCCTGCAGCCACTTGTAATATTGTTGTAGTGACTGCTTGGTATAACCGTAATTATCTGTATTTGTGGACGATTGAACAACAACCTTCGGATTCCTACCCTTGATGGTTTATTCATATATTTATTGCAGTGTCAACAGATATATAGAAAATACAATAGCCTATATATATTTACACTGGTCTTGAGTATTTCCAGGTCTTCCTAGATAATTTTGTCCTACTGATTTCATCCCTTCAACCAATCTGACATTTAAATTTTGGTTCACGTTCTTTCTCTTGGAACTTTGGAATAAGACAATAGGTTCTAACAGGCTTAAAGGATTTACGACTTCTTTTGAAGATTTTATCAATCTTTTTGCTCACTATAGCAAAAACTGACAACAGATTTTATCTGACAGTTTTTCAGAGAATAATATGTTCCTAAATCTGTTTAGGGTCCACTTACTTTGACTGTTGACTATAGATATATAATTGGATTTACAGCTTATAATTAACCGAATTGGAGCCTTTAACACCATGTACCGTCACCTGTAATATCATGTACTTAGTATTATGACCAACCTGCATTTATTAACCAGATTAGCTTTATTAATTATCGGTTACTAAACAGACGAAGCTCAGTATTTACTTTATGTTGAGTGATAAAACATTTCAGTCTTATTTCTGGTTTCAAAAGCTGATACAGCTGGGATATGTTTCACAAATGCGGTATCAAGTCTTTTTTACCAGTTCTTCTTTTTGGCTATTGAAAAGATGTCAGAGGAATGTGTTTGACATTGTATAAAAGAATTTTACGAAATGAACTGACTCGTAAACAGCAGAAGCAATTGCCAGTCTGTACCGGACCCTGGAACAAATGTGAGACAGTCCAGTACCTTTTTATGACAAAGCATGTAAATTAGGTCATGAATATCGAAATGCACTGTTCAAAAAATGTTTCAACACTTTAAAAGACACTGAATTTTCAAAATAATGTATACATTTACACATCATACCTGATCATCTATGTACATATCTGCTAAACTTCCTATCACGGGTTCAGTTACAAAAATCAGGTATTCACTATAAAGAGAGTAGAAAAATTCGAGTGGTTAGTGTTGTTTACCAGATAGTCATAAACATTTAAGAGTACAGAGATACTTGGTTAACATTTTAAGTATGATCAGAAACACACTGGACTCTGTGAACCATGCACATAGGAAATCATAGTAGTTGTATAAAGTTACTGACATTCAAATTCGGATTCATAATTTTATGCTGACAAAATTATAATCTCAGAGTAATTCATAAATTCAACAAGCTTTAGTCATCTATATCCAGTCAAGGCTATGCACGGTGCAAGTTATCCATTTTGTATCCGTTCTCAAGACTGTGTTCCAAACAAAACTGTTAGATGAAAATTAGGTATGCAAACTAACTAAATAAGTAATCCTTTTGTAAAACATAACTTTTACTGATACATTACAGTAACAGTTTGATGAACAGAATTCCAAGAGCTAAACTGACTCAATGGATGACAGTTATTTTGAATATGCTTCATGAATATCATATTTACATCTTTTAAATTTTAATTATATTTCCATAGAGAGGCATGAAAGTCGACACTGGGTGAAGTGGTGGATTTGTTTCATTTTGTGAACACTACCAGTTATTCTTTTCCACATGCAGAAAGAAAATCTAGATGGTCTGAACCTTTGAGATGTGATTAAGCGTTGTCCTTGTTATGAAAATCATTCAGCTATTAACTAGTACTCCACATATTCAGTACAGTCCATCTGTGATTAGTGAAGACCTTTTATTGCATTCTTTCTTAAGGTCTTCATCAATGTTTCATCTAAATGTAGTAAATCTGTGGAAGTTACCAGATAAATTGTGTTAAATAATATCATTTATAAAAATGAGGAAAATAAAGAATTTAAAACTATTTCACCCTTAAGACTGGTGGGAAACATTAAATATATAAAAGACTACCACTCTATTTCAACTGCTTTCAGCATGTTCACACTAAACGTTTCAACTATACATGTAATTGATAGCTTTTTCGCTTTATCGATATCGGCATTCAGAGAAAGTTGTACCCTATAGCAAACTTTTTATCAGAATATATTACTGACGAAATATACATATTTCTTCATTAACAAGAACAAGGCATGTATCAGCTAAGAAATGTTTCTTTTCAACGACTTCATTATCAAGCTGTACAGTCGTATTTATACTCAGTAAAGTGACAGATAATTGCACTAAAAAGTTACTCAGTTAATATGCAAAATATACAATCGGTGTAGTTGGTGGTATTTATTCAAGTGGAAGAGATAGAAAATGCGTCATTGAACAAGGAATGAATCGATAACAAGTGGTGAGATAAGAGACAAGTGTCGTCAATGAAGGGAAAACTGGTGATGATGATGACAATTGAAGAGAAGCATACCAAAGTGAACTGAAATTGACAAAATCAACAAAATGAATTGTTAAGGCCAGGATAGAGAAAGTGGTTTCACGAAACTTTTTTGAATGTAAAGTTTAAGTTTTTATTCATGTATAGCTAATGCTTCAGCTATGCATAAGTTGTGGAAATGTAAACCTTTGGAGTAGTTCAATTTAACTTTGTAATATATTTAAAGGATGAATCTCGAGGTGCTGAACACCTTGTTGAATTGGGACACTCAGCACCTCGAGATTCATCCTTTAAATATATTACAAAGTTAAATTGAACTACTCCAAAGGTTTACATTTCCACAACTTATGCATAGCTGAAGCATTAGCTATACATGAATAAAAACTTAAACTTTACATTCAAAAAAGTTTCGTGAAACCACTTTCTCTATCCTGGCCTTAACAATTCATTTTGTTGATTTTGTCAATTTCAGTTCACTTTGGTATGCTTCTCTTCAATTGTCATCATCATCACCAGTTTTCCCTTCATTGACGACACTTGTCTCTTATCTCACCACTTGTTATCGATTCATTCCTTGTTCAATGACGCATTTTCTATCTCTTCCACTTGAATAAATACCACCAACTACACCGATTGTATATTTTGCATATTAACTGAGTAACTTTTTAGTGCAATTATCTGTCACTTTACTGAGTATAAATACGACTGTACAGCTTGATAATGAAGTCGTTGAAAAGAAATATTTCTTAGATGAAAAATATACTGTCTTGTTTACAAAATTTGAAATGAAATTTGCTTTTTTACTTTCTTGACCAGATTGAATGTTTGCATGTTATCCAGATACATGGATACTTTTTTAAAAGTGTTTAAGAGTTTAGACCGACAAATGCAAAGTTGTTTTCAAATACTGAATGCGTAGAGTATTTTATTTATCATTATTAAATGGAAAGTACTGGCTGAATCTCCAATGACCCCTCAGTCTAATAGTCAATCCACCAAATGAGTCTTAATACTGATGATCTATTTACTGACGCAGGTAATTACCACCAGACACATTAAACACTAAACAGCAATATTGAGCAGTTTATATAATGTAATCGGAATAACTGTTTGTCTCACAATCTCCTAACAGCGGTGTACAACATTTAGTCTTTGATTAACAATAATTATAGATTGCAAGTAAGTTATGAAGAGGATAAGTTTTGAGAAATCTAAATGGAAATATTCAACAAAATAATTACATGCGATTATTGGACTAAAATTAAGTAAGTTAGATCAGCTTGTGCCAAAGTGATAACTCAAAGGCATCGGTATAAATCAAACTACACCTAAAGTTTCACTATAAACTCCAGTCATCATTTCTCTATGTGGAAATGAGTTTGTAAACTGAATTTATTTTCAAAAGTCTTGTTATTTTATTTCTTTAGTTTCCTTTTAACAGTCATATGCAAACAACAAAAGTTTTTTTGATTGAGGTGTCCTTTACTTTGAAGATAATTACAATTTCTACATAACATCTGTTTCGTGTATACACGTAATTAAATCTATCTGGTGGAAAATAATTACACGCCAGCGAAACTCATCAAATTATAACTAAAAACATAAAGATAAAACATTGATTGAGTTTTTTTGTTTTCTCTTCACTTGAGAAAATAACTGAGGAAACGGGGAAAAAAGTTGTTTTTATCACTTCCTTCTTTGCATCCTTCCATCATTTTTCAACTTACTTATTTTCTTCGATATCTTGTATTAGCTGAATAAAGCGTGGGTGCTTTAATTTGTTTAAACTGGTCAAATCATTACGCAGCGATTCTAAAATTAATTCTCGTCGACGATTTTTACTGATTCGATCCAACAGCTTCTTATCGTATATAAACGCTGTACACTTCTAAAAATGAATATAAAAAAACAGATGAATGAGATGAATAAATGACAGAACAACGAGCACAATGAGCTGAAGTTATTGGTTCATTTCCTTACATTTTAAAAGTTTCGACATACCGACTTAAAAGCATTAATTGCATCGATTTACAGTAACACGTACATGATATGAAAGAACAGAGTTCTTCTCGTAAGACGAATATTTACCAAAGGATTTCTAATCAGGAAGTTTACGTTTGCTTAGCTGTGCCCTAGGTAAACAAACTTCTTGATATAGATAGTGGAATTAGCTTAAACACTTCTTTCTGTGTACAGAACAGACAGATTGACAACTGACTGTCATGTTTTGCAGAAGAAGAAACTATCCATTTCCTTAAACATAATTTATGAGTTAAAAATCAGTAGATGGCTCACCAAGCTTTGGCTTCTTAATTTTGTGCTTCCTAACTGCATTCTCTTCTTCTTCTTGTCCGCTTAATAAATATACTGTATTTATCTATCCATCCATCTGTCATCAATTTACTGAAGGTTATGACGATTAATATGCAATTTTTATTCAAATTTAATGTCTTACTATTAATCTTGTTATTCCATGCAATTTGATCATCAGTTTTATCAGGTCTTGGGATTCACCCCTTATTAATGTCTTCAAGACAATATGAAGTTTACATTTCATTACTGTTATTTATTTTATTCTAACTGCTCCCTCCAATCATTACTACTACTTATAACTTTCGTTTTGTTTATTGGTCACATCTATTAAGTGGGTATCACTAAAATAATAATTTGTACTTTCTTCAAACGTTTGGCTAAGTTATGAACTTTTTTGCCGGGTTTTGCATCAAGAACTCGTCAACTGGATAGATTATTATTAACTATATTGCTGAGCTAGACTGATTTTTTAACAGGGAATGCTGAGAAACAGCAATGTAAATTGTATTCACACTTTGAAATCAGTAGTTTTGTGGATGATAAATAGCATATTGAATGAAGTGAATTCACTTCTATTTTGATACGTTTTTTTCTAGGAAACTAACTGAATGTAATGGTGGATTAAATCAAATGAAAATCACAGACAAGATCAGTATAGAAATATTTTACATTATCGAGAGAAATCGATTGTACACCAGTGAAAATTTGTCACGCTTTTTAAAATCTAATTCTTTTTTTCTAATAATACATTTAGAGGTATATGCTGCTAATGGCGCAATAATTATGACGTAAAATCTGCATGATTCGATGTGCATCTTTCTATGGGCTTGATGAATCATTTAGGTCAAATACGAATAAAGATAGGTATCAATAAAAGCTCAGGAGTGATTAGAAACACCTGATACATTGAAATGAATATAACAAATGCCAGTCAAAGAATTTTAAGATTACTTGTTTACTTCATCAGTATTGTCGTGTAGACAAGATATTTTCGTGTATTTCTTAGACAGTGCATAGAAATGTACAAAGAATTTCTCTAAGGCTACAGGACACTGAATTACAACACTTAGTAATCTCATGCAATTTTTCCTGTCTGCAACTGTCACTAAGTTTTTGATTATTAGAAATTTTTGTTCTTTGTAACGGTGACAGTTATAGCGAGTGAAGGATTTTAAAACTAGCTAAATGTTAAACCTTCCCCTAATATAGTTATTTCTAAGTCACTACAGGTCAGTTATGAACTATTTTATAGATCTGTATCACAATTATTCATTCATTCTCTGTTTGCAATTGCTATTAGATCTCTTCTTGGTTTCATCGTATTCAAGTTTACTTGACTGTTAACTACGCATGGATCAGTTTATAAGATAAAGAAGCAATTGGTCGGTATATACAGAAGTGTCTGAGTTAAATTTGAAATCAGTCACCTGTTAATATAGACGTAATTAGGAGCTTAGACAAGTGGGGTATTATCTGTCTTTTGCACGTGAATTAGTTCCATTCAAAAGCACATAAAACTGGAACAGAAATTAATTGTGGGTATTTTAGCTCCAACGTACAACATCGTGAGTATAACGTTTCCTCCGGTGGTTTAAATCAGTTGGATAGACATTGGTGTGTGAAGTTATCATACAACATAACCTAATTTACAGAATTATGCAGTTAACGTTATTCTACGAAGTGCGATAAGTATCATATTGAATACACTTTTTGTGATCACTAAAAAATTGCACATTTCTGTAACTACATGAAAATGTTTATCCTTGAAAGAAACTAGCACAAATAAATAAGACAAAGGTGAACAATCTCAGCTAAATTATATCAAAATTTTTAGTAGGCCCATTATAAAGCATCCCTAACCAAAAAGATATCTAATCAAGCAGAAACTGATTAGAAAAGAAAGATACTGGGGAAAGCATAGAGAAAAGGAGTAGGTAACTTCATTAAGTTTACAGCAGCAAGAAGGCCCGAAATCGTTTTATCTCCTGTAAATCATGTGTTTATTATTATGCATATTAAAGATTTTAAATGCCCTTGTACTCCTTCTGGATAACTGTATCATAATATAAATGATGTAAAAACATATTTTCTTTGTCATGTTTAGGCAGTCATTCCATTTTTTTAGTAATAATGTTCGTAGTCTTTCATGGTCCTAGAGAAGTTTAGGCAAGATATCCAAATGTATTCTATGCTACATATAGTTACAGTGAGCACCCTCCTGTAATGAAATATCAACACATCTCTCAGGCAGTTCTCATTGTACAAAATTGTAAGTTAGAGTATTGCAGCCTACCTCTCTCAACTGTTGGTCTACAATAACAAGTTTCATGAATGACTTTGTTGAAACCTACCTGTATTCTGAGATGTCAACCAGTAAGGATGCTTTGGGGAACATATTATAACACCGAAAACAAAATTCATAATCATACGTATCATTTTGTTTATTTACTAAGGCGGATTATTTATTTGGATGTTTTCGGGAAAAAAATTGAACTTTCGTTAGCAATGTCACTTAAAATTAGCATTTTGGAATGCATGTATAGATGCAAATGTATACGTTTGGTCTCATTATTGTTTAAAAAACGTGGCTGACCTTTATACAAACTTGATGACCATTTTTGTGGATTTCATGCTGAATAAATTGCATATTCAAATTTAAAAGGGATTCGAAAGATCTGGTTTATTACTTCTTACGCAAAATCAAATCAACAGTGAATTGCTGTTAAGTGTAAATTATATACTAGAATTGTTGTTATGATACTTGTGATTTCGCTTTGTTAAACAGGATGGAATTGCTCAACTTATGTTGGTAGATGGGCTCCTATGCAGATGCCTCGATAATACTGACCATTCATGATGGTATACTAATCTCAGTGACTAGCTGAAGAATGCAGGAAGCGCGTTTCGTCCTACTTGGGAGTCGTCAGTTTGATGTACTTCCACCCCAGTGAGTGATGTTGTTCTCAATGGTGCTGCAACCCAGTCCCTTCTGCCTGAAAAGCCAGAGCCTTATCTACTAAGCCAGTAGGGCACAATAGTCATCGCTTGTGCAACAGGTGTCAGTTGTTGTTATGATACATAACATAACAACAACTGAATGCGACTTAACGAGTTACTATTGATTTGGCAAACTGGTATCATTATAGCCGAATGCCGGTCAAATGATAACCGAATGCCATGGCTTCACTGACACCTCAACTGCTTTGACCGAAGGCAGACAGTGGACTGCGCATTTCGCCGAATGATTGTTTCTCTCATATGCTTCTCATTTAAGTATGTGGATATGCTTTTTCGCGTCGTCATTTAAACGTCTTTTGTAAAATCACACCTTAAAAACATGCTTCATCCCCTTTTATTAAACCCTATCATATTAGGGCTTGAAATTTATAATATGATAAGGATAAAATGAAATTATAAAGTTTACCATTTTTATTAACTGTATTTTGCAAAAATGCTACTTCTGTAACAAGTAGTCTAGTTGTGCTTCAATCAGATTTTAGATAAAACCAGGAAATTTTTCGATGCTTGGAGTGAAAAAATACTTGTCCTATGTTCATCTCATTGCAAAAACTTTTCTGAACTGCTGAAATAACTGTCTATGTTGTATGCTGGTAATGGATTCAGTGACACTAACATTATTCGATTAGGAGGTTTCTGGGGATTTATTTATTGGTTTTAAGTTGGTATTCACCAATGACTGACATCACTTGTAGAATCATTTAAGACCTGGAAGTTCTGGACAATTGTTCCGTCCTAGTATGGGACTTATCAGCTGAGCTCATCAACGACCTCGTACTGTTAGGGATCGGAACCGGGACCTTCAGTTTCAGTGGCCACCACGTCACCATTGAGCCGCTGAGTTGAAATCCACTTCTGCCACTTCACCATAAAGCGCGACTTTCTTCCGATGACGTCGTTGAGTAACTGTCCTAATGTCTGCTATGGTTGGCCTCATTGGTCACGACTTCTCTGACAGGGGTCATGGGCGCGTACTGCTGAGCAGTCTCATTCTAAGACAAAACAGATGTCTAGTGCACCAAGGTTTCAAATGTTTCTCCAACTAATGTCCATTTATGATGAATACCAACCTGAAATAAATTCTATCATAATGTCGATTATATTATTCAAAATGTAACTATAGAATTTTTACACTGAACGGTCCCCATAGGTTAGTGATATGGGTATCTTGTTCTTAATGCTTAGCACCGTTAGCATCCATTACATTTTAATAATACCTTCTTTGCATTATTTTAATCACATGAGGAAAGGGGCTGCATATACGTTTCTTGTCTCTCTTTCTACAATGGTTGAGAAGTTCTGAAAGAAAGGTTCAAAAATAAGTGTTGAAAATGAAGCCTACTATCTCTTCATCATACTTACTTAAAATGCGAGTTTCAATAGGACTACTCGTATGTACTGCATGTTTTACGTTCGAGAACGAAATATCTGCCCGTTCAAGGAAAAATCGAATGGATCAAAATGTTTTATTCATCTACTTATTTGAAGCGGTACTTCATAATATTTAGTTTTTAGTCGTTTTATCCGACCACAGTTGAAGTTCAACACACAGAAACT